ACTTCAAAACTATGGCTGCGGACACAGGCGACTGGTACTGAGCATAGATAGTGCGAGCGAGAAGAATGAAATTTTAAGAGAATGGGAAGCAGGTGGGAATTTTTATTGCTCAAACGCTTGTGCCTGCATTGATCGACAGATTTCAGCCATGACCCCTCTTAACTTTGGAGATTTTTTACGGGGACTTCCTTAGTGTTATTTTTTACTTTTATCCCCTGTGGGGTATGGGTTTTTTGGTTCACACTCGGGTTGGGATGGAGAAAGGAAACTCACAATGTGCTCTCTGTATACATATTGTATTGGATGTACAATGCAGCTTGGTGCTGAGAAGGCAGCATGGTTACAAGCGTTGAGTAGAGAGAGCTGGTTGGTGAGGGTGCTCAGAGGAGGACCAGCTTGTGGGTCGCCGGCGGGAGCGAGGGCCGCCAGGCAGGAGCGGAGGAGGTGGTGTTTGCTTAGAGACTAGCTGTAGGTAGAAAGAGGAAGGTCACCACTAGGTCAGGTCTTATATAGCGGAGGTAGGCGTGGCTTAATAGTTGACCTCCGTCATGTAAGGCGTCGCTGGTTGACCTCCGTCATGTAAGGCGTCGCTGGTTGACCTAGACCACGAGGCATACACTGGGGAATTCGCTGGGTCAGCTACTCAGCGACAAACAGCGTTTGTAGGGGAGGAATCCACTACAATACTCCCCTTCCCTCAAGGCGGTGTAGGAGACTTGTTGTCTGCAGAGTTGCATGGCACATGTGAGACAGAACGGGCGGTACATGCCACATGTGAGACATAACGGCGAGGGCGTGGATGAGCCAGCCGCTAGGAGAGTCAACTGTCTAGACACGAGATCTGTGGGAGAAGAGAGGGAGAAAAAGGGTGTGTGGGGGCGATGAATGTTTTGCTCCTGTAGCTGCAGGGGCAGCGTCCTCATGGTCACTGGCTGTGATGACTGGGTCAGGGGCGACGTCAGGAGGAGGGTCTATGATAGGAACAGGTTCTTCAACAGCAGCAGGGTCCACGACGGCAGCAGCGTGCAGGACAGCAGTAGGGAGTGCCTGAGAGAAAAAAAACGGTGTGTGGGGGCGATGAATGCTGTGCTTCCCTCTCGGCAGGTACAGAGTCCTCAGATGCGCCTGCTGGGGTTGGTAGAACGTGGTGCTTGAGGCAGGAAGAGGAGCTGGTGTCTGCTTAGAGAAGCAGTGCTGCTCTAGGGTGACTAACCTGAGGTGTACAGACAGTAGCTGTAGAGCCGATGAGAGCTGCCTCTGTGTGGATAAGCCAGTCTTCCATGTTGCTTGAAGACTGGCAGAGTGATCAATTTCTCCTCCATCCTGTGTGAGTGGAAATCTCCGGGGGTCACCATTTGTGGGGTACGGGTTGTTGGTTCACACTCGGGATGGGATGGAGAAAGGAAACTCACAATGTGCTCTCTCTATACATATTATATTGGATGTACAATGCAGCTTGGTGCTGGGAAGGCAGCATGGTTACAAGCGTTGAGTAGATAGAGCTGGTTGACCTAGACCACGAGGCATACACTGGGGAATTCGCGGGGTCGGCTACTCAGCAACAAGCGTTTGTAGGGGAGGAATCCACTACACCCCTTCACCACTGATCGGCTCGTTAGCCGTTTGGGCGATCGGTCACGTCTTTGTTACGTGTTACGCACTGTTGGCAAATACTGGGCAAACACTGGTTCCTGAACATATCAACCTGCTCTAGTGCTTGTCAAGTCTAGTCTTGAAAGAGCTCACATTTGGTGCTGTTGTAGTGGATTCCTCCCCTATAAACACTTTTGTCGCTAAGTAGCCGACCCTGTGAATTCCCCAGTGTATGCCTCGTGGTCTAGGTCAACCAGCGCCGCCTTACATGACGGAGGTCAACTATTAAGCCACGCCTACCTCCGCTATATAAGACCTACAGCCAGTCTTCAAGCAACACCTCCTCCACTCCTGCCTGGCGGTCCTCGCTCCCGCCGGCGACCATGGCGACCCACAAGCTGGTCCTCTGAGCACCCTCACCAACCAGCTCTCTCTATTCAACGCTTGTAACCATGCTGCCTTCCCAGCACCAAGCTGCAATGTACATCCAATACAACATGTATACAGAGAGCACATTGTGAGTTTCCTTTCTCCATCCCATCTTGCGTGTGAACCAAATATCACGAAACCCCACAAATGGTGACCCCCGGAGATTCGCACTCACACAGGATGGAGGAGAAACTGATCACTTTCCCAGTCTTCAAACAACATGGAAGACTGGCTTATCCACACAGAGGCAGCTCTCATCGGCTCTACAGCTACTGTCTCTACACCGTAGGTTAGACACCCTAGAGCAGCACTGCTTCTCTAAGCAGACACCAACTCCTCTTCCTGCCCCAAGCACCACGTCCTACCGACCCCAGCAGACGCATCTGAGGACTCTATACCTACCACGAGGGAAGCCCAATCATTCATCGCCTCCACACCGTTTTTTTCCCCTCAGGCACTCCCTGCTACTGTCCTGCACCCTGCTGCTGTCGTGGACCCTGCTGCTGTCATGCACCCTGCTGCTGTCATGGACCTTCTGACCCAGACCCACACACCCTTTTTCTCCCTCTCTTCTCCCACAGATCTCGTGTGTCTAGACAGTTGTCACCCCTAGCGGCCGGCTCATCCACGCCCTCGGCGTTCTGCCTCACATGTGCCATGCAACCCTGCAGACAACAAGTCTCCTACACCGCCTGGAGGGAAAGGGGAGTATTGTACTGGATTCCTCCCCTGCAAACGCTTTTGTCGCTGAGTAGCCGACCCAGCGAATTCCCCAGTGTATGCCTCGTGGTCTAGGTCAACCAGCGCTGCCTTACAGGACGGAGGTCAACTATTAAGCCACGCCTACCTCCGCTATATAAGATCTCACTTCGTGGTGACCTACCTATCTTTCTACCTACAGCCAGTCCTCAAGCAACACCTCGTCCTCCACTCCTGCCTGGCGGCCCTCGCTCCCGCCGGCGACCATGGCGACCCACAAGCTGGTCCTCCTCTAAGCACCCTCACCAACCAGCTCTCTGTACATCACGCTTGTTGACAATGAGCTGAAGTCCTCGGGCCATTGTGAGAAGAAGGTAAATCAGGCAAATAAATTATTGGGTCTTATAAGAAGGTCGTTCAGATATCTAGACGGTCCGTCCCTCGTAACGATCTTCAGGAGTGAAGTGCTTCCCCATCTGGAGTACTGTCACCCCATCTGGTCCCCGAGATATGCTAGGGACTGTCAGTTGGTTGAAAATGTTCAAAGGAGGGCCACCAGACTGGTGCCTGCACTTCGGCACCTCAGCTACCCTGAGAGATTGGAGCGCCTGAACTTGCCTAGCTTATACTACAGACGGGCAGGGGGACCTAGTTGAGGTGTATAAGCATCTCAGGGGCACTACTCAGTTGAGTGTCCTTACTTGGAGCTGGCGGACGCTCGCCCCACAAGGGGTCACAGCTCAAGATTGAAGAAGCCGCAAGTCCAGAAAACCGTGAGGGCAAACTTTTTCGGAGTGAGGGTTGTAAACTCTTGGAACAATCTACCAGAGAGTGTTGTGACGGCACCGAGTGTGAGCTCTTTCAAGAGAAGACTTGACCAACACTGGAGCGGGTTCAGGTACATTCAGGAGCCGGTGCATGCCCGGTACTTGCCAACAGTGCGTGACAGAGACGTGACCGATCACCCGGGCGGCTAGCGAGCCGATCTTTTGGTGAAGAATATAAATGAAAAGAGACGTGACCGATCGCCCAAACGGCTAACAAGCCGATCAGTGGCGAAGAGGATAAAAGTAAAAAAAAAAAGACTGCTTTTCCCGCCAATTCATCGCTGTAGCTTGGTCTGGACTGTCGCTACTGTTACAAAACAATCGTGAGACAGTCCAGCAACAAATTTTACCAATTGTTTCTGGACTGTTTCGCAACACTTGCTAAACTGTATAGAAACAATGGTGCCGTGTCTCCCAAGCGTTTCTGGACTGTCTCTTACTTTTACTTACTTCTATATCCTCTTCACTACTGATCGGCTCGTTGGCCACTTGGGCGATCGGTCACGTTTCTGTTACGCACTGTTGGCAAGTACTGGGCATGCACCGGCTCCTGAATGTACCTGAACCGGTTCTAGTGTTTGTCAAGTCTGGTCTTGAAAGAGCTCACACTCGGTGCCGTCACAACACTCTCTGGTAGATTGTTCCAAGAGTTCACAACTCTCACTCCGAAAAAGTTTGCCCTCACGGTTTTCTGGACTTGCTGCTCCTTCAATCTTGAGCTGTGACCCCTTGTGGGGTGAGCATATAAGGATGCCCGTCACATCTTAGAGACAACAATTTTGAAAGGCTTACATTTTTTTTACGGGAATTAGCCCACCCGGGTACATGTCACCGACCCACATCGTGGCCTTGGGGGCGAAAAAATTTACTTGGACCATAAATAAACACAAAAATTAAAAAGATTAAACAGATGGAGAGTGAGAAACAATATACATGTTGTGTTGTGAAAATGAGAGAAACAACTGAGGCCTGAAATTGTGTGTAAATGAGAAAGGACGTATTTGTATAAAACATTTATTACCCGGTCATGTGACACGTCATTCTCCCAACAATAACAATACCACACCGGTATCACTGTCATAAATACAGTTAAACAGTTAAGTCCCATTAATAATCACTCCACACAGTCATCTTTAATGTAATTATTCGAAGGTCGGCTGTCTTCTGAACGATAAGTGAATAAATCGTGCATACTGTGTTTGTGTAGGCAAAAGTTGCCTTTTAATCTTTTAAAGAAACGCCCACTTTGTCGTTCCCATTTTCTCTGGAGAGTATTGATTCACCTTAGCCCACCACAGAAAACCAATTAATGCTAATTCACTGTTAGTTATAATTAGACATGAATAATATACGTAGGATTAAAAAATAATGGGGGTATCATTGAGTCGAAAGTGAGTCAAAATGAGGTAAAAACAGACACTTGGAGGGGGGGGGTTGTGAGGGCGGCCGCTAGGTGACTCTGCTGCCTCAAAAGTGGGTGGTGAACGGTGCAAATGGCGTTGATGCGGTAGTTGACGGCAAACATATCCCATTTCCCCTGCTTACACGCTTTCAGCTATTGCTTTTCTTAAGAACATTGTGGTAAGTAAGGCCTGTTTCTTAGTTATCTGGCTAATTAAAGGTCCTGTGGGGTTCCAGGGAGGATGTGGGAAGGAAATAAAGTGTCCGGATGATTTTTGAAGAGGGTCGTCGGTTTGACAGGTCAGCTGCAAAGTGGTCTGCTCGGTGTGGATGCCAGGATCAGCTGATACTACTGGCCGGAATTAGTAAGTGATGTTTGTTCATGACCATGAGATAAGAATATACTTAAATTTTAGTCTAAGTTACAGTAGGGATGACGTAGTAGTGGTACTCGCTGTGGTCAAGTCATCCTTGGTGATTGCTTGATTGCTTGCAAGGACGTGTGGTCACCCAAATAATTTGCTAATCCTTAACACGTGGAGGTCGTTATGGAGGAAGCGCACAAGAATGTGTTTAGTCTTTGTATTATACATTAATATAAAAAGTCCAAGTCAATGGATGGCTATGCAAAGTGGTTGTTGACGTGTTGGTTGTGTTTACCTTCATAATTCTCAGGTGGTTGGACTACTGATGTTTGTCTCTTCTGGTGTGATATGGGGAACATAAAATTGGACCCTGTTGTTCATATCTTAATATTGAAATAAGTATTAAGCTTATACATTAGAGTAGTCTGCATCAATGTAACTGATGTAGCATTTGAAGATATCTGATAATAATCAGTCTTTTTTATGATATTCACTGATATAATTTAGGATCAGAAAGTCACACAGTTTGATGGTGAGGAAGAGCTCAAGGTAATTGACTTGTTACAGTAATGGTATATAGTACAGTACTGTATGTAATTACTGTAGCTGATGAGGTAAATGTGCATATTACAGCAATCATGGAATTTGAAAAAAAAAGTGGTTTTCTGATGGGTTTTGATGCGATTAGTTCAAATCTGACCTTCGTTTGTCGGAAATCACTCGTTTTTTATTTAGCTCCCCCCCCCCCTCCTCATAATAGTTCTATCGATTGCTCGTTCTGAATTCCCGGTATTCTGTGCTTGCTAACTGATACCATATAACCAATCTAAACCTTATCTAACCCCCCAAACACTATATAATAACCCTAGAGTCGCTTGGTCAGCCTCCACGAGAATATAAATAGCCGTTACAGTATTTCTTACCTTACTCCGAGTTAGGGTCAGAGTAAGTCAGGGACCAAAATGCATCGTGGGTTCCTCTGTTCTCTAAAGTTTCCCTATTTTTAGAATAAAATAATACGATAAACTTCTAATTATCGAAATAGCACCCAGCACATAATGGCTCCATGTTGCAACTGATTAAAAATGTACCACATCCTAGCACGCACGCCGAATGTTGAACGCTAATTGGTAGAATCAAAAGTTGAGATTTTTTATTGAATTTGATTGGCTACCGCCCCTGCCCTAGATTTGATTGGCTACCGCCCCTGCCCTAGATTTGATTGGCTACCGCCCCTGCCCTAGATTTGATTGGCTGCGGCCACCCCTGATCTTGTGGGGACCAAGTGGAAACATACAAGATAGTGTGTGGCATATAAGACCAGGCATGTACAGCAGGAATGTTCCAGATGAGGGAGGCTGACACTACCCGGGGGAACTCAAAGAAGATCTACAAAACAAGAACGAGGCTAAATCTCAGAAGACACTCGTTCACGAGTAGGGTTGTCAACAACTGGAATGGGTTACCTGAGTGAGTAGTGAATGTGGAGATGGCGGAAAAGTTTGAAGCAAAATTAGATAAATACTGGAAAAATCAACAAGTATATAAATATAGGGCACAAATATCCGCCACACACAGCCACCGTCTGAGTAGAAAAGAGGCTATTGAGCTGGAGTCACAGGCGTGAGCCTCTTCCAGAAGATCATCTGTGAGTATCTGTGAGAGTAGCTGTCGCCCCCCGGCACATGCGCGGAAGGTAAGCGAACGTATGAACACACACAATTTGAGCAACAGGTGTTCTGATTTTATTCTTTTTAAAATTCAATAACTTCCTTATTATCAATTTGTGACAGAAGTGTAATACCTGTATAAGAAAATAGTTCTATCGATTGAGTGTAGTGAATTTCCGGAATTCTGCGGTTGCTGTAAACTGCATCATTACCGCTGATGAAGAACATAATATTCTTCGTTCTCACATTTATGTGTATTAATTTGACAAATTACATTACTATATCTAAGGGATGGTTCAAAATCAACATTACTGTATTAAGTTTGTAGTATACATTACAATATTTGATATTTAGGGTGATGTAAACTTGAATAAACATGATTTTAAAAGACCCATAATTATCAATTCCCTAACCTTATTGACAGCCAAGATGCTATGGTTACTTTGGAGTGTAGCTGAGCTATTAATGAGATGTTTGTAACATTTCGTTAAAGGTGGAGGAGACCGTTAGCACCAGGACTTTATGGAATTGCACCAAATTTTCAGATGTGTGGATAATACTGAGTACATGTAGTACAGTAAGAAAATTTAAGCAACATCCTTCTAGTATTTATTTATTTATTTTTTTTTTTTTAGTTTTGGTTATCCCTGTATTTAGATGTTCAAACTACAGTTCGTGATTTGTGACATATGAAGATCCGATTCCTTCAAAACATAAAAAAACACTGGAAAAACATAGTTTGGATATCTAATGTAATCTAACCTAATTCCTAAGATTCCCTAGATGACTGAAACTAAAATAGTAGCTGTTTTTTTTTCTTTTCAGCCTATCCTTTGATCATGAATTAGTTGTTAGTGGGCTTGAAAGAAGAGGGAAATAAAGGGGTACGAACACTATGAACACTGATCATATGGCAGTAATTTTACATGTACATCCTTTGTAGGTGAAGAAATAAAATATTTACCATAAAAGAGGTTTTCTTAGATACCTTTTACTAACTCAAGTATCATGTGTGTTGCAGAACTACATCAACAATGCCAGCTGTACGAGGAGATGGGATGAGAGGCCTTGCGGTCTTCATTTCAGACATAAGAAATTGTAAGTACAGTATGTCTGTACTGCTGTTAAATGAAGAGGGATGAAGAGATGGGTTCCATCTGTCTGTGGCTATATGACAGATGTATCTGGATTAAAATCCCAAAGCAATTTATAATATCTTGATGAATTGTATACAAATTAATTAAGTGGTAAAGAGGTAGATTTGCTAAAAAGAACACAGTACTGTACCAAGTGATATGGTAAGTACAGTATATTGAAGATGAATTAATCTCTTATTTCTAGTGAAGGTAAAAAAAACTCGTGCTAAAATAAAGAAAGTGGCAATTTTCCCCATAAGCATTAATAGAAACGGGGGCGGGGGGTGATACGTTCCCAGCCAGCAACTTTCACCACATATTTTTCTTTATATACTACTCATTATCCAAGGCTATTAGGTACCAGGGTCACTTGTATACAATGGAGCCGTGAGGGACACACCACTCCTTCCCTCCTTCACATGTAATACTGTAGTATGGTGTGCAAATAATTTGCATTTCACAAGTGTTTTGGAGTGGACTATTATCATTTGTGTACAGTTGGGGTCAAAAGTCTTGAACACTTGACAGTACCTGTATTTGGCATGTAAGTACCCGAAGATCTTAGGTATTAAGGAGAGTTTTATCTCATTTTGTGGTTCAGGCTTAATATGGGATGGCAAGTAGTGTTATTAGTATATCCCAATCATATACAGTATGTATAACTTAGAAGTAGATGCCAGGTATTGCTAAGTGTTCAAAACTTTTAACTCCGACTGTACAAGAAGAACAGTACTGGGCCGAAAATGGTATTACAGTCCAGTACTGCACATTATAAAATAAATATTTTAGATGTATGACTTTCTTTTACAGGTAAAAGCAAGGAGGCCGAAGTTAAACGTATCAATAAAGAACTTGCCAACATTCGGTCCAAGTTCAAAGGTGACAAAACACTGGATGGTTACCAGAAGAAAAAGTATGTTTGTAAGCTCCTCTTCATCTTCCTGCTTGGCCATGATATTGACTTTGGTCACATGGAGGCAGTTAATCTTCTGTCTTCCAACAAGTACACAGAGAAACAGATTGTAAGTCTTGATATAATTATAGTTTATTTTTGAAGAATGGTGGGAAATCATGTACAGGAGGGTTAGTTTGTGTAACAAGGATCAACCAGACAGCTTAGCTGGTTATTTTTCCGTTTAGAACATCTTCAAATCCCATAGAAGCAGTTAATTTGATGCAATTTCTACCTCATATATGCATTCTTCAACCCTTGAAGCCTTTTGGAAACGTGTTTCTTCCAGAAAAATCGCACAAGTGAGGAACGCCTCAGAAATTAGATCAATAAATCTCCACCCGCCATTTCTTGTCCCACCGCGAGCTGTCTGGAGCCGTGAGGTATGTCACACTGCCTCCCTCCACAGGGGTTAGGTTAGGTTAAGGTAGGTTAATTTAGTGAAAGTTAGGGAATCTAGATGTTTGGTTTCTGATGTATTTGGATGTATTTTGTTCAGATCTCACCTTCGTTTTTTGAGGGAAAATGGCCATTTTTTGATCAAGGATGACTTGCATCTTTTTTGAAAAAACGACGCATTTCCCATGGAAACGAATGTCAGATCTGAACAAAAAACATCAAAATACATCAGAAATCAAACATCTCGTGAAAAAATTTGAGGGTGTGTTAAAACGAATAATTACTGCTTAGCTTCATTTGTTCAATGAATTATTATGTGATGTAAATCAATGTGGAGATGAGGCATTCACTTTTTGTATAGTGGTTACGCTAGTTGGATATGTTAAGAAGTTTGTAGTATTTATTTCTACTTATTGTAATTTGGTACACTTTTCCTACTCTAAACCCCTACTATTTCTTCCCTTTCTTTGAGGTTTGTGTACCCTTCCCTCCACCCGATAAAAAACTGGGGGAGGAGATGATACAAAATGACAGATATAGAGATGTAGGATTGTAGGTTGTTGATGCAGGTTTATTGGAACTAATTTGGTTTATACTACAAATAACCAGTTTTGAACGACTGGTATAATAAATTTGTGGCTCTTTGGATTTTAGTCCAAAATGCAGTACCTGTATGCATAATCTTGGAAGATCTGTCCAGGCTAAAGGTCCATAAGAGTCCCGGCCCTGACTTGGTGCATCCTAGAGTGCGAAGAGAGTTGTGCAACGAGCTTTCTTATGTGAGTCCTATCTTCAAGAAGGGCGATCGTCACTCCACGAACAACTGTAGACTGGTGAGCCTGACCAGCATAATATGTAAAGTACTTGAGAGTATTATCAGAGATGCCGCAATGGAACATCTACTACGAAACAACCTTTTAAAGGATTGCCAGCACGGTTTTATGCCGGGGCGCTCCTGCTTAACACAATTGCTCAAGGTATTAGATATTTGGACCCATATTATGGAACGGGGTGGTAATATCTACAATATTTACCTAGATTTTGCCAAGGCTTTCGACAGTATGCCCCACGAAAGGCTGAAAATCAAACTGGAGGGGTACGGAATTTGGGGAAATGTCCTAGCGTGGATAGAAGACTTTCTACATGACCGCAAGCAGTGTGTGGTGATTAATGGCACGAAATCATCATCCGTACCTGTTACAATCGGGATACCACAGGGCAGTGTATTGGGCCCGCTGTTGTTTGTTTGTTTTATAAATGACATGCCTGACGTACACTCCTCCATACAAATGTTTGCCGATGACGCCAAGTTATTTCGGGAAATCAAGAACCAAGCGGACTGTGAAGAGCTGCAGAAGGACCTCTGTGGGCTCCAAGAATGGTCGAAGAAATGGCTGCTGAGATTCAATGTCACAAAGTGTAAGAGGATGCACCTGGGGCGTACCAACGGTAAGGAGGCGTATCATATGTCCCAACGGGATGAAGAAACTGCATTATTTGATACTGAATGTGAGAAGGACCTAGGTGTGTATGTTGACAATGATCTGAAGTTCTCGGGCCATTGCGAGAAGAAGGTAAATCAGGCAAATAAATTATTGGGTCTTATAAGGAGGTCATTCAGATATCTAGATGGTCCTCGTAACGATCTTCAAGAGTGAAGTGCTTCCCCATCTGGAGTACTGTCACCCTGTCTGGTCCCCGAGATATGCTAGGGACTGTCAGTTGGTTGAAAATGTTCAAAGGAGGGCCACCAGACTGGTGCCTGCACTTTGGAACCTCAGCTACCCTGAGAGATTGGAGCGCCTGAACTTGCCTAGCTTACAGTATACTACAGACGGGCAAGGGGTGACCTAATTGAGGTGTATAAGCACTACTCAGTCGAGTGTCCTTACTTGGAGCTGGCGGACGCTCTCCCCACAAGGGGTCACAGCTCAAGATTGAAGAAACAGCAAGTCCAGAAAACTGTGAGGGCAAACTTTTTTGGAGTGAGAGTTGTGAACTCTTGTAACAATCTACCAGAAAGTGTTGTGACGGCACCGAGTGCGAGCTCTTTCAAGACCAGACTTGACCAACACTGGAGTGGGTTCAGGTACATTCAGGAGCTGGTGCATGCCCAGTACTTGCCAACAGTGCGTAACAGAGACTTGACCGATCACCCAAGCGGCTAACGAGCAGATGAGTGGTGAAGAGGTTAAAAGTAAGTAAAAGTAAAACAGTATAAAATTATGAAATTCACAAGAAAGTATTCAATTATCGCTTTTGTGTGTGTGTATAGGGTGTTTACCGTACTTGCATGTACCTGTACAGTACAGTATTATGTGACCCCAACAATCCACTCTTCTTTCCTTCCTTCATAACTGAAATATAAAATGAGAGAACTTCTGATGAAAATAACACAATTTTAACACACACAATCAATATTTTCAAGGGCTATAAAAATCTTGCTGAATAGTAATATAAAGATGTTTTTGTCTTCTTTCAGGGTTATTTATTCATCTCAGTCCTGGTGAACACCAATAGTGATCTCATTAAGCTGATAGTCCAAAGTATTAAGAATGATCTGGGCTCCCGCAACCCTGTGCACGTTAACCTGGCCCTGCAGTGTATCGCAAATATTGGCTCAAAGGAAATGGCAGATGCATTTGGCACGGACATTCCAAAGTTGCTGGTATCTGGGTAAGGAAATTCCACTTTAGATATTATAAGAAATACAGGTACTTCCATAACTTTTTGTTTCTTTGTTGAAATGTACAGGAAGTTGTTGGTTTTACCACATTACTGTCTGATGTGGGTTTTTCTTAATTTTATTTAAATTTATAAGATTATTTCCCTAAATTTCTATTTGTCAATTTTTTTTAATGCAAGGTATTGATAAATGCAAGAGGTGTATGTTACCAGAAGCTTATTGAGATGTTCAGAGTTCATGTTGTTTTGAAGGCTGCATTAGCTAACCTGTTGTAAGCTGGGAATAATATATAATATACATGAATGAGGTCTGATAATTAAGTTCGCGAACTCGCGTTACAGGCGCCGGTACGTACTTTATTGAGGATCGGTGCTGTGGTCCCCTTCAAAGTATTCCCCTTCTGATGCTATACACAAATGCCATAATTTTTTCCACCACTAAAAATATTACTGGAACTCATTTTCTGGAATAGCTTTTATAGCTGCTGTCGTGCCACTCTGAATGTCATCTATGTCTTGAAAATGTGTCCCCTTGATGTGTTTCTTCAACAAAGGAAATAGAAAAAAGTCACATGGGGTCAGGTCAGGTGAACAAGGAGGGTGTTCCAGTAAGGTAAGTGTTGGACCTCGCTAATCCGGGACGCTTGGGACCAGACCAGTTCCGGATTAGCAAAAACTCCGAACCGTCGAAGCCGAGATTAAAAAAAGGCAAAATAATGCATACAATGTACTATTACTGGTACCAATACAACTTCCATCAGCATAAATCTAGCCCAGGCTTACTGGACCTCTTAATGACAAGGTGTTAGTACTATGGCCCACGTTTTCTGTACACTGGACCCTCACTTTATGCCATTCACTATGGGAATTTGCATACTGTATATGTACAGAACTAAACAAAGAATTTATTTGAAATATTCTGCAACATTCAGTGCCATAATATTCTGACCACTGGGGTTAGTTATACAGACTTCCCTGTGAAAAAGTCTTAATTTTGAGCAAAATATTAATGTACTTTGTACTCAAATGTACTAAGCTACAGGGCTGAACATTTTATCTCTTTTTGCAAAGTATGAGATGCTTATACTCAAATTTATTGCTATCTTACAAGGATTCCTGGAAGGCCAGCTATATTCTGTTGAGTCAAATCAGTGACATTTTATAAGTACTTTTAAGCTTAAAACCACCTTCACCCTCTAAAATCCTTAATGCTTTCTGGCTGGAAGGGGGAGGTGAGGTGTTGACAGCCAGGAGGGGAGATGACTGGGTGTGTAGTTATCAGTGGAGGGACTGAGGATTATACAATAGAGGGAATTTAAGTTTTTCCATTATAAAATATCACTGACTTCGCATAATATAACTTGCATTGCTGGAATTTTTGCAAGATACAGGTTGATAATCCCTTATCCGAAATCCTTGGTGCCAGAGGCATTTCGGATTTCGGAATTTTTTTTTTTTTTTTATTTATGTATGTATTAGCCCATCTGGGCACAAGTCACTGACCCACATTAGGGCCTGGGGGCGAAAATATAATTATAATAATAATAATAATTTATAGGTCTAGGTCGTGTTTCTCACTTTTTATCTTTTTTCGTTCTTGTATTTTTTTAATATTATTATTTTATTCATACAGTATTATTGTTATCATTATTATTTTATTTTGGTGTATTTTTTAATTAAAATTTTAATTACTATGAATAATTATTATTATTATTTTTATTATTATTATTATTATTATTATTATAATTATTATTATTATTAGTGTTACTATTACATTTTCACCCCCCAGGCCCCGATGTGGGTCAGTGATCTATGCCTGGGTGGGCTAATCCCTGTTAAAAAAAATAATAAAATAAAATTGCTCCACAAAAAAACTTTCGTTTTCAGAGCTTTTTGGTTTTCGGAATTTCGGATAAAGGGTTGTCAACCTGTAGCAATTAATTTGATTGTAAACATCTCATAGTTTGCACTAGAGCCTGTTGAGCCACACCACGTGTTTTGCGAATTTAATTGTCAGACCTCGTAGATGGGTGAAAAATAAATTGAGAGAAACTTCACAAAGGTAGTATTGGCATGATGGAATAAAAATGGAGAACACTTAATGTATTGGTTGTAGAAATATGTGGCAGACACCAAATGGGAAGTCTTCTTACTTAATTTTTTAGCTGCCATCAACTTGATTGGCATTCATGTTTCTTGTTGGGCATCTACAGTATTCTATTTTCCAGTTCTTTTTTAAAAAAATTATGTAAAATCTAAGGTGTACCGTACTGTTTTGTACACTGCTTGTTTCATTCTTTAAAAGAATTCATTGTATTAAATTTTATTTTGCAAAATATTTGAAGTTTTCTAATCTTTGAAGACATGAATATATCCTCCTCACCTTTGGTGCTGCTTTCTAGATTCTTTCTATAAGACTAAATGAGAGGCTGCAAATGATTTAACAACGTAAATGGTCTCAAAGAAGAGAACTTTCAGTGCTTGAATTGACAAATGTTACAATGGAATCAAATTTTGACTTGCAGTGAGACGATGGATGTGGTGAAGCAGTCAGCTGCTCTCTGCCTTTTGCGTTTGTTTCGTACAACACAAGAAATTATCCCTGGTGGAGAATGGACATCTCGCATCATACACCTGCTCAATGACCAACATATGGGTGTAGTGACAGCAGCATGCTCTCTCATTGAAGCTCTAGTTAAGAAGAATCCTGATGAATATAAAGGTTGTGTCTCTCTTGCAGTTTCGAGACTTTCCAGAGTAAGTGCATTCAAATATTAGTAGTGTAGTACCGTAATATTGTATTGTAATAGTTGAGTTATATCCTGTACTGTATATGCATTTATGAACAAACTTATATGCAAGATATTTTATCCATTGTTGAAAGTCCTTGTCACTCATATCATAGGGTGGCTGGATAAAGAATAACACTGTCTCCCTCATTTAGTCTTTCTACCAGATCAGTTATGGTTAGGCAGCTAAAGAGAATGATGTGAATGTGATGGTTTATGTGTTGTGTTGCTCATGATTCTGGCCACACTGTGCAGGTGTGGGAATGTATGTGTGATAATATAGAGAAATGTAGCTTGTGCAGTTATTTTTGTTATTATTTTTTTTGATGAACTCATTACATGAAGAATTAGTTGAAAAGTTATTTAGGTACAGTATTTTGAATATCCTCCATTTTTACCCTGATGATAATTTCAGCATAATACAGTACAGTATATTGAACTAAATGTTACCCTTTTCTATTTCTTTCACTATGATAAAAAAAATTATGATGCCAATTAATTAAATTCTCAACATTATGTTTACTGTTTGTTTAATTTTGTTTATTACAGATAGTAACTGCTAGCTATACAGACCTGCAAGACTATACATACTACTTTGTTCCTGCCCCATGGTTATCAGTAAAGCTCTTGCGGCTCCTTCAACACTACCCACCACCTGAGGACCCTGGTGTTAGGGGCCGACTCAATGAATGCCTTGACACCATCCTCAACAAGGCTCAGGAGCCACCTAAATCTAAAAAGGTACTGTACTGGACACTAATATGGTAGCCCAGTTCCTTCACTGTGCTAAACATCTTGAACAACCCAAATCGATGCCTTAGAAATGCTGCTTTTCTTTCCACACCAAAATTCCAATTGCCATTTCACAAAAAAAAAAAAAAAATCCAAACATGTCCTCTTTAACAATGGAATTCTCATGCTTAATTTTTCTAGTGTAAAAGAATTTGTAGTACATGTCAGTCTGAGATACACTTTCTAGACAAGCATACCTCTATCAGTTCATATGTCTCAAAAGAAAACAGAACAATATTAACCACTTGTCATTATAGTTTGATGTATTAATTAGCTGTTAAGTGATTTGATTAAGTGCTTGAGGGTTTAATTAGCTGTCAGGTAATTAAATTAGGTGTGAAATGAATTTATTAGGTTTTAGATTATGTATGTGGGGGATGGATTAATTTAGGTGTTGGAGTACAGTACTGTACTTTTTCTAGTTTGAAAAATAATGTATTTGAGAAGGTAAATCTTGATAGAGCTGGATGATATGAACTCGGTTATATCTTATCTTTGGAAGGATTTAAAAATTTATGGAAAACAGATAGTGTCCAGATGAGTGTTGTACAGTTAGAGCTGGTAACCTGCACTGTAATTCCTAATTGAATTATCAGTTTTTGCTTGTAGAAGATAGTCATCTTATATTGAAGTGGCCAGTGACCAGGGGGTCCTTTACTACACTACCAAGGTTACTATACATCAGTGAGGTCAGTTGGCTATTGAGATAAATCTATATACTGTACAATATATGGTGAAAGCAACCAGGAAGTAATTGACCAGTGACAAAACAATAATTTTCGTTAATAGATTTTTTCTCAAAATACCTGTACAATGAGTTAAATTCGGAACACATTTTACTGCATACACACATTGGCACTTTAAATGTGGAGTAATTAAGGCAGGACTTGAAAGAGGAAGCCTGCAGTGAATCTTAATCATACAGTACTGTATAGGTACTGTGCTGTACATGCTTTCTCACTGAGTTTAGGATGTCTTATAAACAGGTGGTTTTTGACATAGTGTACTGAAAAAATGTCACCAGTGCTCGAATTGTCAATTGACTTCAAATAGAATTATTACTTGATTTACCTGTTTTATCGGCAGTATTCATTGATCAAGTTAATCATAAATAGTAACCAAAGCATACATTAACAGTAATCCAGTTCAAATGATAGCTGGTGTTCTGGTCTCTTTGGCAGAGTAGTACTCCAACCACAATTGGATTAGCAACTTTATTACCATCTACCTTTCAGACTGTACTGCTTATTCTTCCAGTTACTTTAACGTTTATATACTCTTGCCTCTTGGATGTCCTTGGGAACCTTGTACGTTAAAAGTCATTTGCAATACTGTCCTTAAATATGTTTATTTCTTGTTATTTGCTTAGGTTCAACACTCCAATGCAAAGAATGCTGTGCTCTTTGAGGCTATCAGCATAATAATTCACTCTGACAGGTAAGTTTTGAACGAGACTACTTTGTTGGAATTTTATTTAATATATTAATTGTGAAATATCATATACTGTACTATACAGTGGGGGTATGCTATAACGCATGGATTCTACTACGAATATTCCTATAACGAACGGTTTTACCTATAAAATTGAGAATGCTATAACGAACTCAACTCCTACAATGAACGTGGATGAATATTGTTGTACCACGACTCACAACAAGAGCGTCAGGCGCCATCTTTGTCTCATTGTGTAGCCAGTGCTCCACTGTTATTGTTGAAATTTCGTCTTTTGATGTGGAAATACGTGTTATTTGTATAACTATTTTGTTATACAAGTGTACAATTGTAACAATGAATCGTCCAAAGCGAGTGAGAAAGCTCATAACCCTTGAAACTAAGAAAGAAATCATAAAGAAACGTGAGAATGGAACAAGCATTGCGAAACTTAGTGATGAATATGGGATGGCTAAATCGACTATATGTACGATTTTGAGGAATAAAGAGGAGTTAAAAACTGTGTAGGTGGCTAAGGGAATCTCTAGACTTAGCAAAGCAAGGTGTAATGTGATTGAGGAGATGGAAAATTTACTCTTAGTGTGGATAAAGGAGAAAGAAATGGCAGGTGATAGCATTAGTGAAGCTATAATTTGTGAGAAGGCCAGACAATTGTTCGAGGACCTTAAAGCCAAGACTCCCAGTGGAAGTGATAGTGCTGTGCCAGTGTTTAGGGGTACCAAGGGGTGGTTTACTGGTTTCAGAAGAAGAAATAAATTACACTGTTGTGAGACATGGTGATGCTGCTAGTGCAGATAAGGAAGCAGCTAAGGAACACCATGACATTTTTTTAATGTGATTCAAGAGGGAGGCTTTGTTTCTCAGCAGGTATTCAACTGTGATGAAACTGGACTTTTTTGGAAAAAAAATGCCTCGCCGTACATACATTACAAGGGAGGAAACTTCTGTCCCTGGCCATAAGCCAATGAAAGACAGGCTTACCCTCCTTCTTTGTGCTAATGCTTCTGGTAACTGCAAGATAAAACCACTCCTTGTGTACCATGCAGAAAACCCCAGAGCCTTGGTGTTATGTGGCGGTCAAACCCAAAGGCTTGGGTGACCAGGAGTCTTTTCTCTGAGTGAGTGACTGAGGTGTTTGGACCCAGTGTTCGGGAATACCTCGGGGAGAATAATCTTCCACTGAAAGCTCTATTGGTGATGGACAATGCACCAGCCCACCCTCCTAATTTGATGGTTGAATTGCCAGAGGAGTTCAACTTCATCACTGTGCACTTCTTGCCACCCAACACAACACCTCTCCAGCCCATGGATCAACAGGTAATTTCTAACTTTAAGAAGCTGTACACAAGGGCACTGTTTAGAAAATGTTTTGCGTCCACTTCTTCCAGTGATGTTAGTTTGAAGGAATTTTGGAAGAGTCACTTCAATATAGCAGGTGCTGTGTTTTTAATTGTGTCAGCCTGGAAAGAGGTTTCTATGAGGTGTCTTTGTGCTGCTTGGAGGCCATTGTGGCCTGAATGTGTGCTTCAAAGAGACTTCGAAGGCTTTGAAGAGTCAGAGGAAGCGGCTGTTGTACATGAAATTGTGTGTCTGGGCAATTCCATGGGCCTGGAAATGGATGATGATGATGTTGAGGAGTTGGTGGAAGAGCACAGTAAGGAGCTGTCCACTAAGGAGCTGCTTGAGCTTCACAAAAACGAAAATGAGACACTGAAGCAGAGCTTAACTTCTTAGGAGTTAGGGGAGGATGAGGACAAGGAGGAAAGCCGCATCATTCCAGCCAAAGATCTCAAGGATGTGTTCTTTTGCTGGAGCAAACTATCTAAGCTTGTGGAGGATTATTATCCTGATGTAGGTGCTGTGGAAAAGGGCATCAGTATGTTTAATGACAATGTGATGAACTACTTTTGGAAGGTCCAGAAATCAAGTTTGAAGCAGCCAACCCTGGATTCCTTCTTTAAGAAAGTAGCAAAAGACCCTATAGACAAAGTGCCTGTAAGACAGTCACCAAAGAGGGCTAGGAAGGATGACTCCTCTCCTTCCACCTCTTCTCCATAATTCTCTCCTCCCTCCTCCCCCTCTGCCTCCTGTCCTGCATGCTGAACAACACTAAGGTAAGATAAAGTACCGTATTTTTTACATTTTCCACAGAAAATTTTCATTGTTAAATGGTTGTATTTGGGGGCCTGGGACGGATTAATCCTATAACGAACGAATGCTATAACGAACGAGGTTCTAGAACCAATTAGATTTGTTATAGCATACCCCACTGCACTAGCATGTATTTTTTTTAAGATGTCAAACACCAGAATATACAAGGTGATTCTCAATTGCATACAGTAAAAATTGCAGGGGGTGTTCCTGGTACAATTCTAAAGCAAAATGTCAGAATCTGCATAGTTTGTTAGCTACAGCACTTGAAAAATGTTGAGGTAATGAAAGTGATATTGGAGTGATACAGCCATAGATTTTTGTGTGGTTTTATGCATGTAACTCTATACAATATGATACAGTTGCATCATTACAGTAAAAGTTCAATATTCCCTTCCTATGCCTCTATCACATTTTGTAGATGTCTGTATAAAAAAATCTATGGCTATTTCACTCCAATCTTACTGTCATTACCTCAACATATTTCAAGTGCAGTAGCTAGCAAACTGTGCAGATTCCATCATTTTGTCATATAGACATTTGCCTTAGAATTGTCCCAGAAATACACCCTGCAATTAACTGTATGTAATTGAATCACCCTGTATAAAGTAACCCAAATGTTTAAATAAAAATGGCCTTTGTTTCCTGAAACTGTACATAGTTATACAAACCGCTATTGAAGTTTTATTGCAGCCATTGTTTTCTAACTAGTTGTGATGACCCCTGTAAAGAAAAAAAAAACTACACCTATTGTGCACTGTCCCTCCTGTCAGTCATTATACCTTTTCATGAATTTCCAGTGGCTGAAACATTTGTAAGAAATTTTCAAGAACTGATTGGATTTATTTTGTTTGAACAGTGAGCCAAACTTGTTGGTACGGGCTTGTAATCAGTTGGGTCAGTTCCTCTCTCATCGTGAGACTAATCTGCGCTACCTTGCCCTGGAGACCATGTGTCTCTTGGCTACTTCCGAGTTCTCTCATGAGGCTGTCAAGAAACACCAAGAAACTGTCATCAATGCTCTCAAAGTAAGAATGAATTTTACATTATTTTATTTTTTCCATGTTTCTTTAAAACTACAACATGTATTCTGTTTTCAAAGAGAGAATACCTGTTATCACCACCTTGGCATTACCATGGACATCATTGTTTGCTGTAAGTTGTATGCCAAAGTTTTTGGGTTTGGATCAGTCTTACACCAACAACCATTTGCATCTGCTCACATTGCTTGTGCTAATTATGAACTTTCATGACTAAGAGAGATGTGGCTGTGTGGACTAGAACCATAATTTAAGGATAAGTTTTAAGGAATTGATAGATTGATACTTACCTGTTTTTTATGCATTTATATTCTAGCCATTCAGTACGAATAAAACTTGCTTAATCTTTAGACAGAACGAGATGTTAGTGTACGTCAAAGAGCTGTGGATCTCCTGTATGCCATGTGTGACAGAAGTAATGCTGAGGAGATCGTGCAAGAAATGCTGAACTACCTGGAAACTGCTGATTATTCTATTCGTGAAGAAATGGTAAGTTATTTAGTACAGTTAAATGATTATGGTTCTCTCTTGATATTAATTGAATATGATAGATTAAAGAAATAAGAAAGTGTATGAATCATTGCAGTAAGGAGATTTGGAGTTTGCGTTATTATTAGTTTTGTATGTTAACTTAGGCAGAAAAGTGTAGAATATATAATTCAGTTCTCTCTTAAAAAAAGTTGACTGATGCTGTATTAATCATCCACTTTAAACCCCACTTGTAAGTGGTTGTAATGTTCATTGTCTTCCTAAGCTACCATCCTCATCTCAATAGAAAATTTCTGGGAAGATACTGTAATATTTAGTTATTTTATTTTATTTTTTGTGATCTCTTCACTGCCTCTTTAAAGTGTAGCCAGAATCAATTGCAATATAAAACATTTTCCATATGTAGTGTCACTCATTCTTTGTAGCTGCCTGTGGTGTTTCCCTATCACAATAAAGCTCCCAAGATTACATACAGTATTTGACTCTTCAGTAAACCCTCGATAATTCGGCACATATGGGGCTCTGGCCTTGCTGAGTTATCCCAAACTCCAACTTATCGAGGCATTTCCCCTCCTGCTAAAATACAACAATGAAAAATTGTCGACTTATATACTGTATGTGTGCATGTAATTACTAAATGTAAAAAAGTAACACTTACCAGCACTGCAGGCGAAGAATGAAGCATCATAGTAGGTGACAGAGGTATGGTAGGTGACACAGGTATGGTAGGTGACACAGGTATGGTAGGTGACACAGAGGTATGGTAGGTGACAGGTATGGTAGGTGTCACAGAGGTATGGTAGGTGTCAGAGGTATGGTAGGTGTCACAGAGGTATGGTAGGTGTCACAGAGGTATGGTAGGTGTCACAGGTATGGTAGGTGTCACAGAGGTATGGTAGGTGACACAGAGGTATGGTAGGTGACACAGGGATATGGTAGGTATCACAGGGGTATGGTAGGTGACACAGGTATGGTAGGTGACACAGAGGTGTGGTAGGTGTCACAGAGGTATGGTAGGTGTCACAGGTATGGTAGGTGACACAGACATGGTAATGTGATGCAGGTGGCCAGATATGCCGAGATTTTCCTAGTTGATTTTATATATATCGGCATTTCCCAAGTTATACTAAAATGCATTCTGAGACCATATCCACGGCGAGTTATATGAAATTCCGAGTTATCGAGGGTTTACTGTGAAGTGGGTATCTGAGTTTAGCGATCGCTTCGTACCATCTAGCGGACGCTAAACTCACGAATCACTAAACTCGAGAAACTTTATGACCATGCTTCATTCCCAGCCCAACGCTAATGTCCTTTCTTTTCTTAATTTTTTTTTGCAGCCCATCTAGCCACAATTGTGCTACAGAAGCAACAGTACGACCTCTTGCAGTATGCAAGAACTGCCTCATCTGCTCTTTCTTTGCCCTATGCCCCGTATCATAGACTCATTCACTCCATATAACTTAGCCAGTGCAGTACGACCCATACCACGTTAAAGTTTATCCAAAATTTCTCCTTGAGACTAAGCAGCAGCTTTTTACCAAGACATTCTGGTCAGCTTCCTTTCCCACTTACACTCCCATTGGGTCCTGGTTGTGTGTAAGCCATCACGAAGTTACACAGTAAAGGGAAAGGCGATCACTAACTCGAACAGCGTGCATTACTAACTAGTGAGAGATTAAAAAATAATGGCTGCATGATGTCACAAGTGTAAGCACGTGGCCGTTACATTCGCATGATGCGCTAATCTAGCGAGCAGTGGCACTAAATTCGAGTGTTAGGGAATTTTAGCTCGAGTGCTAAACTCACAAATCGCTTAACTTGAGAATCCACTGTATATTTTACTGTACAACTGTGTTTCTGTTAAGTTTAGAATTATTTTTGTCTAAAAGTCGGTTACCATTTATCAGGTGCTGAAAGTGGCCATTCTGGCAGAGAAGTATGCTCAGGACTACACCTGGTATGTGGATGTTATTCTAAACCTCATCCGCATTGCTGGTGACTATGTATCAGAGGAAGTGTGGTACCGAGTCATCCAGATAGTCGTTAATAGAGAGGATGTCCAGGGATATGCTGCCAAGACTGTTTTTGAGGTAAGACCATTAGTTTTCCATTTTGGACTTATTGTATATTTTTCCTTTCCTTATGCCCTTTTTACCTCAAAAGACCGTGTGTCTGTTACCAATAGCACAATGAGGACTATGAATAGAAAACCTAACCATGAAGGAATAAATCATCGTCGACAATAATAACTTTTTATGGCCATTTCCTAAAAAGAATTTTAGTTTAATTAGAATGACAAGTGTTTAGTTTTATATTTGTATACCACATTGTATCTGACTAGTACTGCCTATCTAACAATTTTCAACAGTAATATTAAGATTTATTTCTGTGCACTTGATATGTGTGAATATTAAAAAAAAATCCTTTTAAAGTTGTAACACACCATCCATAATAGACCAGAGAATTATTAGAGACAAATCAGAGACAAATCATATGCTGTACTAAGAGTCGGTTCCAACTAAAAACCAAGTGATGTATGTATGTGTTACTCACATTTTCAAGGATTATGAATTAGTTAATTTGCCTCATAAAAATTTTAGAACACTCACAAGATAACATGAAAAGAATAAAAGTTTCCTTAAAGCTAAGATCTCATAGATTCTCACAAACAGGAGAGGGTGACACACCCTTCCTCCTTAAACTCTTGATATACTGTACACTGAGACACAGGTTGATGGGTGGGAGATTCTTTCCAAGGTTGAGATATTGAATACAGAGGCTATTCCATATTAGGAAAAATCCAGGCTTTTACTTTAATTTGGGACAGGAATAATGAAGAGGTATTAATAATTGCTTCCCATTTTTAGCTGCTAGGGACAGGTATATCATATTGCATACTTTTCACTGAAGGGTTTAATGGGGTGGCTTATTTAAGGTTATCTCAAATGCTGTTGTTACTTAAACTGTCAATAAAGCATTTGCTTTAACAAAGTATGCAATTCACAATTAATAAGCACAAATTTTAAATTTAATTTTAGATATTGAGTGGATGTCAATTTAGCATATTACTGGTAATGTTAGAATTGTAGATGAATTGCCACTACAGTTTCTCCAAGTCCAGAGGTAGCAGGACACTGGGAATGTTTAGGTTGATTGTATAATGTCTATTTTGGGATCAAATTTAGTGGTATATAGTACTGTACTCAGTTGTATTATGGTAGCTGTTCATATAGACTTGCAGTCATTGTAATGGAGCCTTAGTACTGTAAAACACCAATAAACTATACAGAGTCATTCAACACTGTTCATCTTTTTAATTGGTGTTTATATTGAACACTTTAATGACTTGATATTTATTGGTAATTGCCTTTTAGCTATACAGTATATATCTGCATTATATGTTGTTGACCTCTATTGTCCCTTCCCGTACGGTGTCAGGCGAGGAACATATATGCTGGCAACTGTACTGTACTTAGCTTTAAGATGTCTTGCCAGTGTATTTTATGTTTTGCATGTTTGTCGTCCATATTCACTCACAAGCCCTTTCATGTTACTAATGCAGGGAAGCTTGAATCAAGAGCAACATGGATACATGCTCCCATTGTTCATTGTTTCTAACTTCTGTAATAGATATCCTCTGCTGATATATTCCTCATCCACAACAAAATTAAAAATTTCTTGTCAGGTTTATCTCTTTCTTCAGAAAACAGCCAGTTAATAGGAAGTCCATACCACATAACTTCATGCTTTCCAGTCATTCACACATGTTGCTGTACAGGTATCATATACATATCACAGTTTGGCTTTATGGATTAATATTCCTGATGATAGAACTTAAGTCACCTGTATCTCTGTTTACAGGCTCTGCAGGCGCCTGCATGCCATGAGAACATGGTTAAAGTCGGGGGTTACATCCTAGGTGAATTTGGTAATCTGATTGCTGGAGACTCCAGATCTGCTCCAGTTGTTCAGTTCCAGCTCTTACACTCCAAGGTAAAGGTCACAGCTTGTCAAGGGGCAAAAGAACCAGGAATACATCGCTCTTTATAGCTCAGTTTGATGATCTTTCATGTAGAGTAAGCTGTGAAATAAGAGTTTGTTTTAACTTCTTTTTTTGTTGCATTGCAGTACCACCTTTGCTCTGCGGCAACGCGTGCTCTACTCCTCACCACATACATTAAGTTCATCAACCTCTTCCCAGAGATTAAGTCACAAATACAGGATGTCCTCAAGTCTAATTCTAACCTGCGATCATCTGATGCAGAGCTGCAGCAGAGAGCGTCAGAGTACCTCCATCTCTCTGTTACCACCACCACTGATGTTTTGGTATGCTAATTACAGTATTTCCATATCTTCTTGAAATGACATTTTATGGAAGACAGTTTCCAGTCACTTTAATTTTTTTCTTTAGCTATATTAACTAATTCAAGTGATGTCTAGGCCACTGTAGTTTATCCCTGAACGAAATCATCAGTCATCTGATAATATAGTTAACTACCTTCGTTAATTTTTTAAATCTAAACTTATCTATTCATCACATTTGCTGTTCTTTGTCCTAATTGTCTAATGATTTGTCCTACTTACGTTCTGAGTCTCTTTAAACCGTCTTTGGGTCTTTTTCTTAAACATTTACAGAAATCTTACAAGTTTTCATTTACAGGAGGTAATTTAATTTATTTGAAAAGGTGTTCTTTTATAGTTCTTCAGTTCAGTTCCTCTAACTATTTGTGAATTGCAGGCCACAGTATTAGAAGAGATGCCACCATTTACTGAAAAGGAGTCATCCATATTAGCAGTATTGAAGAAGAAGAGTGGTCGCATGTCTGCACAGGAGGCTCAGAGAGAAGCTCGGGTACAAGCGCGGGAAGGTAATGCAGCACCAGCAGCAGAAAAAGCCCAGAATGCCCAGGTACATTAATGAACCATTTTTGTGTATTTTTAGATATAAATTTGTGTAAATTTCTTCAGATTTTCCATTCATGATAATTTAACAGATGTAGTCATTGTTTTGAGGAGTACAGGTATATACATATAAAATGTGACCTGAGGTTTAAGGATAAGGTGCTTTAGCTCTGCTTTCCTTACACTTTTGTACCACCTATGTGGGACTGACTTTTGAGGCTATTCTTGAAAAGTAACCTAGAAGGGGGAAGCTTGTGTGTTTAACCTGGTATCTTTACCTAAGTGTCAGCTGATACCAAATGATCTTCCCTATTTTAAAGTTTATGGAAAAGTAACAAAGCTACTTTTTCCTCTGGATCCATGTCAATTGTAAAGATTTTGTTCTGCCAATGCTAACAACTTTGGAAACTTTGAGGTTGCTAGAAAAGTTCAATATGAAGTGCTACAAACTGTGTGGAGGGAAACAGAATGCTCTACTGTTTTATTGTCTGCAGAGCCACAAAAGGAGCTCATGTAGACTTGAAATAAAATTTTTCAGTTTTCCATTTTAGTCGATGTGGCTTTTTGGTGTAAATTTGTTAGTTTTCCCAAATAAATGGTATATAAGAAGAAAAGGAAGTGATTAAGGAAATAAAAATAGTTAATGGGTTTTGTATGGAAGAAGTATAGTTTTAAGGATTTGACCTTTAAAAGAGGCCAGCAGTAAAGGGGAGAAGGAATGTACGTGGTCTGATTGAAAAGTATCCGACCTTTAGCAGGTGAAAAAACAAGCTTACTTACTGAGTTAAGACTTTAATACCCTTCAAAGTAGGCCCCTTGGGACTCAACACACTTAGCCCAGTGGTCCTTCCATTACTGGAAACATTTTGTTAAGTCAGTTTTTGGGATCGCCAACATGATCTTCTTCTCCTTTTTCTTTATCTCATTTGTGTCCTCAAATCTCGAAACCTTCATTAGCATCTTAATTTTAGAAAACAGCCAAAAGTCGCAGGGAGCCATGTCAGAAGAATAGGGAGCCTGCCGGACCTGTGTGATCCTGTGTTTGGCCAAAAATCACCCCATGCTTCATGCCGTCATTTCACCCATAAAATTTTAAGTTCACGAGGTGTAATTCAAGATTATTTTCTTTAAATCAACACTGCACTGCACTATATATTGTCAATATGTAAAATAAATTTCAGACTTACCAATAATTGTACTGTAAAAACGGAAAAATAGTTTATGTTCAAGAGAGTCTCAAGCAAGATGTTACCTCTACTGACCAGAGATACAAACTGATGCCTGTTTGGCGAGTTGAGTGGCTGTTTGGTGCACTAAAAACTAGTTTCCTGTACTTCAATTATGTTAAATAATTGTTAAAATGACTAAAAAATTTAATATAAAACTTGGAAAATTATTGAATAGTATAACCTTCAAGATATTTACTCAAATGGGAATGAATTTAAGCCCTAGAACCGATTACTGTATTAGCGGACTAATATTCCAGCTGGTGAGCAAGCAAAAACATGTGGAGAGGAATTCGTAAGGAATTCGTTAACCAAATTGTTTTTTTAACCAAATTGAATATTCTTATGGAAGGTACAGTGACCCCTCGGTTAACGAACTCAACCCGTTCCAGAAGGTCGTTCGTTAACCGAAAAGTTCGTTAACCGAAACCATTGTTTCAATGGGTTTTTGGGTAATTGGTTCCAGCTCACCGAAAATTTCCTAAATTCAACAAAAATGGTAGAATAGTTCACTTACTTTGAGGTGTGTATGTAGAAGGCTCCTGGATGATGATGATGATGATGATGGGATTTAGAATGGGGGTGGAGGAGAAGGAAGAAGAGAAGGCATTGGGGTGGAAGAGAAGTCACCCCATGGCGCCATTTCACCCATAAAATTTTAGCTCTCTTGGTGCAATTCAAGATTATGTTCTTTAAATCAACACTGCACTGCATTATATATTGTCAATATGTAAAATATATTTCAAAATGACCAATAATTTGCTTGGAAACACAGAAAAAAAGCGTTCAGTTGAAGAGAGTCTCAAGCAAGATGTTACCTCCAGTGAAAACAGAGAGACTAACGCCTGTTTGCTGTGTTAAGAGGCTGGATGCCGTGCATTAAACTAGTCACTTTACCTTCAATTATGTTCAATAATTGTTAAAATGACTAAAAAATTGAATATTAAACTTTTAAAATTATTGAATAGTATAAACTTCTTGATATTTACTAAAATAGTAAGGAATTTAAGCCCTAGAACTGATTAATGTATTGGCGGACTGATACTAAAGCTGGTTGCCCGGTCAGTGCAAGCGAAAACATGTTGAGGTCGGTTCGTAAGAATTCGTTAACCGAATTTTTATTTCAACCGTACCAAGATATATATATATATATATATATATATATATATATATATATATATATATATATATATATATATATATATATATATATATATATATATATATATATATATACCGTAAAGGCCAGATTTGAACATTAAAAAAATCTGCCCAAAGTTAGGGGGTCGTCTAAACCACCAAGTTTAAAATTCTTACCTCTTAAATATTGTGGTTTAGTGTGTCAAGAGTGGTGATGAAAACATCGTAAGCCACTCACAAGGTCTTACCACTAATTATTTTATACTGAAACTTACGTTTGGCAAGCTGGATTCAAATTAAGATTACCGGTATATTAAAATAATAAAAATGTATTATAAACCTGTCTAACATACCGTAAAAGAGATTTATACCCCTATAATAAACACAGCTATCATCACACACCCCTCCCCACGCCCCCCCCCCCATTTGCCAGTGAGGAGCCGTGGAGGTGGTCAGTAATGCATACCGGTATCGGTATATTTACTCATAATAATATTTATCTCCTATAAATAATTGATTTAAATTGTATTTTTTTCCAAAGAATATTCAGTAAATGAGTGCATTAATTCTTGAAACTATCGACGGTTAATTACAGACGCTCAAGTGACGTCACTAGTGTTTACACTACACCAGCTGGTAATATTTGATGCCATTACTTGAAGTGAATTGGCCTTATTTTAAGTAACTAACTATAAATAAATACAAAAATTAAAAAAAAAGATCAAAACTGAGAAATAATATACTGTATGTATGTTGTGTTGTCAAAGTAAGAGGAACAATTGTGTAAGTACGTAATATTTTTTCACTCAAATCCTAATGAAACACTACTGGAGAACATTCCTTTGTCGCAAAACAGTTTATAAATTAAAGAAAATAATTACAGTGTGTTTAATATATTACAGTATATTATAAATAAATAAATAAAACAAATAATTCGGTAAATCTATTTAAAGTAAATGGAAAATAAGCAAACATGTTATTTACCAAGACCCTTCCGTCTGGCTCAGGGTGAGATGTAGGGGAGATAAAGAAGGCTATTTATAGCCCATCAGAAGTGACCAGTACCCTAATGCACCATAAATAATTCATTGAACATTCATTTTTTGTACATAGTATATATATATATATATATATATATATATATATATATATATATATATATATATATATATATATATATATATATATATATATATATATATATATATATATATATATATATATATATATATATATATATATATATATATATATTTGTGTAATAAATGTATGTAGTAAGTACATACTGGTAACCTTTTTCACTCAAATCCTAATGAAACACCACAATTAGAATACGGTGGTTGCTGTTGAACCACATGTTGTATAAATAGTCACACCACCGAGACGAGGGAACACTCCCACCACGCTTCAGTGACGTCACTAGTGTTTACACTACACCAGCGGGTATAATTTGATGACATTACTTGAAGTGAATTGGCCTTATTTTAAAAAATCAAGGATGGTTGGTAAAGGACTACTGAGTCAGTGGGTAAGTGTCACATTTGGGGTACTGGTCTTATACAGCAAATAGAGCTCAAAAGCTACTTTTTAAATGGAAATTTGGGGGGGGCGTCTTATGCACCCCGCCGCCTTATAGGCCGTGATATATATATATATATATATATATATATATATATATATATATATATATATATATATATATATATATATATATATATATATATATATATATATATATATATATATATATATAATTTTTTTTTTTTTCTGTTTAAATTGAGTTAAGATTGTGGTGGATGACTAAACATTTGGAGCATAATGAAATAACTAGCTTTATCTGCTTCTGTACCACATGCTATAAGGTTAACTCTATTCCCCATGTAATGTTGCTGCTCTACATGTATACAGTATGTGAGCTTGGCCATGCAATAAAGTTATAAAATTAATAAAATCTCCATAAGACTGTGAAAATACATAATTGTTGCATTCCCCCTTTCCTCCTGTTGAATTGTGTTGTATTCGTAGAACTTCAGATTATTTTTATAAATTACTAATTTTTGTACTGTGTATTTATTCAAACTAAATTAAGTACTGTGTTGTATATGTATAATTGTTATTTTTTGTGGTAATGTTTGTTAATGTATATATTCCCCTATAGTTTGATTGAGATCTTTTTACTGTATGGTTCTTATCATTTATTTTGTTTTTAGCTTAGTAGTAGATTTTAGTTATTGCTCATTTTGGCTTGCTTCTGTATGGTAGCTCAAGACGAAATCACCATCCAATGCAGCCTTTCCAATTCCTCAGCTGAACAACTCCACATCTGCAGACTTGTTGGGTCTCTCAACTCCTCCAGCCACTCAAAACAATACTCAGAGTAATACAGGTAATTGATACACATAATGAAAATCTTTAATCAAGGAGGATTTTCATCATCAGTTGTAAAGTTTACAGTTATTTCTAGTTTTAGCTGATAATCTTGCCCATGTTTATGGTTATTTGTACATGTAATGTTTGGTTAAGTTTAATTTAGGTTGACTAATAGGAAAGACTTCTAAATTTGGCCATCTTGTCTTCATTATTGCTCTGATCTTTCTCACTCATGTTTCTTTCATTATGCTATAATAATTATTTATTAGTCTGTCATCCATCATAGGAATCTGTTGCTGTCCAAAATTATGGATTCATTTGCTAATAGGGCAGGTTCTGTAGCCAACTGAAGTCAAGTACAGTAGACTCCTCTCCACCACACATGGCAAAATTAGATAAAAGAAAATTTTTAAATTTCATATGCTAATTACAGTACAGTACATGTATATGTAAAAACAAAAAAAAAGTGTAGTGATGTAGGAAAAGTGTTGGAATTAGGAAGTGAAGAAGGAATAGGGAAAAGCTTGCAACTCGTGATGGAAGGCTGATGAAACATCAGCTGAGACATGTTAAACACCTAGCCAACTAGCAGTTTTTTCCAACTATACTTGACACTACATCTTCTCTGAGAACTATTAAACTCAGTTCTGTCACTTTTGTGTTTGTTTGAAGGCATCTGGACTCTAGATCTTGTTTTAGAATCCCAAATTGCCAGCAGATACTGTTCCTGCTGTGCTGCCACAAGCTTTGTCCCAATTTGATATCAAAGCCTGCGCACTGTAGATACAGTGTGGATAAAATGAGCCTTCTCACCTTTTCACTTGCTTTTTCCCATTATTTTGTTTTCAGTGTTTCAATATGTCTTCCCTATAGTGTTGCAGCTTCTCCTGCAATGAAAAAGAAAGTGATGTACCATATAGTAAGAAAACAAAAAGTTTATTTGTCTAAAAAAGTTGTGTTGAAGGCAGCAGCTTAGGTTAGATGTTTTTGTCTCTTGGTGAGTGGTAGATCCTAACATTTATGATATAATTACCCTATTTATTTTTCAGTACTGTACACCTGACCCTCGCTTTATGCTATGGTTGTGTTCTGCGACAACACAGCGTAATGGGAATCCGCATATAGTGAATACTTAATCTTATGGGGAAAATTAGGATATGTTCTACAACTACTAAAAGTCAACAGTAATGCTATAAAAGTTGTGGACAAATAATTACAATACACTGATGTGGGTTAGAAATAAAGATAATGTAATATAAAAATATAAACTAAGACATGAAGAACATGGGTATTTGTGTGGAAAGTGAAAGTGGGTGGAGTGGCCAACTCGCCACTCCAGCCGCGTCACATACAGCTCAGTAGACACACACACACACTGCACGTTTCACAACCATTTCTGGAGCATTGATGCTATAATAGTTGTAGAAAATCATTAAAATACTCTAATGTGGCTTAGAAATAAAGATAATATAATATAATGTATTATAAAACTAGTGCGCCATATCTTCTTCAGAACGCATACTGGGGAATCTTTTCTGCATAAATTGAATTGTGGGTAGAAAATACGGTCGCATATAGTGAATGTGTATAAAGTGAGGGTCCAGTGTATAAATTTTTTTCATGGCTTAATTTTGCATGGGGGGGGGGGGTGGGTTAGAGCTGTGTTGCCAAGTTATTCAGTCCAAATGACAAGTGTAAACATAAATAAAGTAGAATTCCAGTTATCTGATATCTGGATAACTGGTAGATTCAACAAACTGGCACTAAAGTAAAATAATACAGGCACTCCCCTACTTAGGAAAGGGATACGTTCCTCGACCCTGATCATAAGTTGATCTGTTCATAATTCAGAACATTGTAAATTCTCATTAAAATACGTACTGATGCACAAGTGTGTGACTGCTTGGTAGCGAGATAAAGGTCAGCTGTTGAGGAGCACTTGGCAACACTCCTTTCCAATCCATCTCTCTAATCACCCCCACCTTTTTGCATTCTCGCTCCATATTTTAAAATCTTGTACAGTATAATGCTGATACAAATGAAGATTTACAGATAACTTTCTTTTCACATATGCATCTGATAACATTGCTGGCGGCATTGTAGCCTAGTTGGACTCGTCACTGTTTCCACCAGGCTAGTGTGCCAAACTGAAGGTGTTATGGTTGTTTTTCAACTCGTATTTTCAGGCAGATATACGTAACTTTTTTTTTTTTTTGCTTGGTTACATGCACCCACCATACTACCTGTACATACATATTGTGAAGAAAAAAAAGAAGTCATAAAGGGAACTACATGAAGGGAATATACATTTTTTTGCACATGAGTTAGCTGGCTCAGTGAGGGAGCTGGCACGGTGCGCCAAACAAAGTAGTGTGTTCCACACTTGGTTCGTACGAACAGTCGTAAGTCACTTTTTAGTTTTATTGAAGAATTTAATAGGGTAATGATCAAAGTGCAGATGATCGTAACTCAGGGCGTGCCTGTAATAAAAATAAAAATTCCTCTGAAATCATCTAGTAACATAAGTTTGAATACAGTACTTCGTTTAACTGGGATGAACTGCCATGTTTATTCCTTCGATAATCAATAAAGTCAATACATTGCATATCATAAAATATAATACCCTGTAGCACATATTTTGTATATAAAAAAATGGCTCCTTTCACACTCAAACCATCCTCTGGGTGACACGACCCACCTCAGCCAAGTAGTCAGCTCGCTGACTCACAGTCGTGTGGCTGCCGCTCTGTGCCTGCCATGACATCACATGGGAGGGTGCGCGGCCACACCGTTATTGCCCACCGCCTCCACACACATACATCTTCATTTTTTCTTATATACCTGTAATAGTTTTATATTATATTTTCTTTATTTCTAAGCTACATAAGAGTATTGTAATGATTTTTATAGTAACAATAAACGTGGCGGGTGGGCTGGCTGGCGAGTCGGCCATGCAGTAATAGCCCACCACCTCCTCATACATTCACTTCCCACACATACATACCATCTTATTTTATAGTTTTATATTATATTTTCTTCATATCACTGCATGGACTGTGCACTACAATTTTGACAAATTCCAGTTTGTATCATTTTATTTTCACGAACCCCACATTCACAAGTTCTCTCGTCTCGTTTATTACCCCATCCATTTAAACATCAACCATTTATGATAAGTTTAGTTGACATATTGAACTGCTGTAGTTGAAAAAATTAATATACTTGACAAGGTGTGCTTGTGGATGTATTGGGCGACCTGTACGGGGGTGGAGGCACCAACACACACAACGGCACATCAGCACCTGCCACGATATCAATGTCGGGTGCCACAGACAACATCAAGAAGTGAGTAATGGACTGAGAGTAATGTTTCATAAACTTAATAGTTGGTCTTTTAAACCTGTTTACCATCTTAGAATTAAATTTAATATCGTCATTGTTTAGATACTCAAAATTTACTGTGCAATTGACTAATGTTGATTTTGATGTGAGTAATGCTTTGAAGCTGTTCAAAGAAAATAGTTTTAAAACTAGTAAAATATCAGAAATTTGATGATAATAGTAAAAGGAGAATACTGTGGTGAAGCTTGTTTGTGGTAGTCAAGGCATGGGGGGATGTAATGGACACAGCAACAACCCTCCTCTTTGCCTTGACTGGGTGGCAGGCGCCTGCCCCAGCCTTGAGGCTCTTAGACAACATCACCATGCAGGTTTCAATTGGTGTTTGGTGGGGATACTTGTTTAAAAGCACTGTTTTCATATTTATTGAAGATAATGCCCACTTTTCTTGTTATATAAAGTTTATACTACTGTACAGTATATGTAAAAAAAATATATATTTTTTATTCCTGCATGTAATTTTAAAGATTTTATCCTATTTATGTTAATTTTACTGAAACCAAATTTTATTCTATCCATTTAAGTTTAGGCATTATTGGTCTTTTAATATTTGATGTATGTTTACTTCCTTTTAATTTAAAGTACTGTATTTGATGTCTGACCTATGAGTTGTGACGCCAGGGGATATTAAGGCAGTCAATCAGTGTGTTAAGATGAGTACGTACAGTTGGATGGCTTTAAGAACACCAATAATTTTGATGGGTATTTTTCTATTACTTCACCTGGAGGTATGGAAGTGAATAAGTGGGTGATAGCAAGTTAGAAAAAGAGTAAATGTGAAGAGTGATTAAAAGTGAATTGATAGTAAGGTGAAGAGGATGAGATGTTAAGGTTAGGTGGAACAAATGTTTACATGAAATAATTGGAAAAAATTGATTGATTGATTGATTGGGGTAATTACATCCCTGGCGACGCAACAAGCTCCTGGTCAGTGGAAGACCATCATTCATTTTAACTGTTTATGGTTCAGTATGCTGAACCTAGCTACTATATTATAAGGTAAAAAATTTTGCCTCCTTTTTATAACATCATAGAAAGGAAATGAAGTAAACACGTGAAAATGTTGATTTTTTTTGTATCATCATCAACAACTTTTGTGCATGTTTGTGCAAGTTGGCAACAATTACCTGGTGGCAGCTCTGTGCTGCATGGTCTCTTGTAGTCTCTCATGTCAGATTCTTAGTCCTAATGACATTTTGTATAACCTCTCCATTTGTCATTCTTGGCCTGCCCCTGACTCTTCACTCCGCATTTAGACTCGTGCATGTCTTGACTCGGTTAGCCTTATCCATTCTCTCCACATCCCAAACCATCTTTGCCTACCTCTACACAAAAGTTTAACAATATTCTCAATACCCAACCTCCCTCTTAGCTCTGAACAGTTTCCTGTTTCTCAGTTACATTGCACATCCACCTCACCATTCTCATTTCAGTTTGTTCATTCCTGTATAGCATCCTCTTTTAATCTACCCATGTTTCACTGCTATACACCTACACATTTCTCTTGCCAGCTGCATAGACCTTTCCTTTCATGCAGAGGCAAGGACCTCCTGTCAGTAAAAGCAGCAACTCCATAAACTTCCTCCTGCCACTTCTGACTTAATACTGAACAGGCCTCAACACCCCTCTCAGCACAGATCATGTCACCCAGAACTCATCGACACAGTCCTGGTACATTTCTCTAATGTTGAATTTCTCTAGCCATGCTGAGGCCACATGATTTCCTGTGCATACAAAACACATAGCAACATCTTGCAGTCTGCCCTATACTCCACTGCACCTCTTGTGTACCCACCTTCCACACTTGCTGTACATAATTGAGTTGCTGTCAGCACATTTTTTTAAAGACAGCTCTTGGCCATATTCCACTTTCCACTACAAGTACCTGACCCAGGCCACTAATCAGAACTTTTGTTTTCACCACATTCACTCTCAGACCCTTTGACTGTATTCTATCCTTCCATTTCTTAAATTTCTCTACAGCCTGTTGGATACACTCTACTATCAACACTTAAGTCATCAGCATACAACAATTCCCAAGGCAGACCAGTGATATTGTTTCTAGCAGCATGGTAAACAGAAGGGGGCTGAAGACGAACCCCTACTTTCACCTTGGATTCTTCACTTTCCTTACTATTTGCTTTCACAGCAGTTTAGGAGTTCTCTTTTAATGCTGTAACCACCTTAACAAGGAACTCCTTAAGCTCTAGCTTTCTCATTGTTCACTTACCACTTCACATGGTACCTTGTAAAATGCCTTTACTAAATCTACAAAATTGAAGTACAGCTTTTTCCTTCCCTAAAGATAGCTTTTGTATTTGCGTGGCCATAAAATATTGCCTCCATAGACCTCCGTCTGACATTAACCCATATCATTTATGCCCTCTTTCTCTATCAAGTTCTTGATTACTCTTTCCATGACTTTCATAACCTAATCTAACAGCTTCAGGCCCATGTCGTTTCTGCATTTGGGTATATCACCTTACCCTTGTAAATATTTGCAGTCACACTTATGCCATTTATCTAGAACAGAACATTACATCGTGATAGCATTAGTTAATTCAGTAACTAATGACATAAATACGTCATCTGCAACTATTCCAGATATTCTAGTTGCCTTTCCATTCTACATTTTGTTAATTTGTTTCACCAACTGTTCTGATAGTGTTTGGGCATGATCCCTGTCATGTTTCTGCTACTCCTAGACTACCCATCTCACATGTACTCCTCATTTAGTAGTTGATGATAGTATTTTCTCCAGGCATCCTAGATTTTATTTATCAACAACCACATTACCATGGTCATTTGTCACACATTGCACACCATCAATATCCTTGTTTCTATCACTACTGTATTTGCTTGGCTTTGCTGAATACCTCATCTTTTGCATCTGCTCAGATCAGTACAGTATATCAATGAGTATTTGAATACCTGACAGTAATTAACATTTGTTTCCATTTTATTGTACATTTTTGTCCTTTCTTTTAGAATTTGTTTTAAGCCTTAGAAAAAACTAGTGATTCCCCTGGGACTAATAATTCATTATTATTTCTTGTCAGGTATGTTTATTGTAATGGATTCTTAGGGAGAGCATGAATAATTATAATTTCCTTTTAAGACTTGTGGAGAGTGACAGTGTAACCTTCCCAGCTATGAGAACAAATATGTTGGGATGTAGGTAACTCGGATTTATAAGTGAATAATTTTTTTTTTTTTTCAGAATCAACTTCAAGCTGTTTTGCTTATTTGTATTTAGTAAGTGATTATTGTACAATACAAGAAAGTATAGTAACAGCCTCACTCCCCTTGCTTGGGGAGAGGGAGTATGTTGAGGCCTGAGCAGCAAATGGTGTAGTATATGAAGAATCAGATTTGAAGTAGCCAAAAAAATTTTATCAGCTGGTCAACATCAAGAAGAGTTGTGTAATCACAATGTAGCACAAGTTTAGAAGATAAGACAGGACTGTACATTTGTAATGAGACAAAATAGTTAACTCGTGTGTGTATTTTTGTTTTTAGGGTATTTTCCATTACCATTCATTGCAGGAACATCACTGAAGATCTATAAAACTGGAGAGAAAAAAGGTTAACTGGCAGACACATGTATTCCTGTGCAGTTTACACACATGTAGGGACTAATGTATTCCTGTGCAGTTAATTTTTTTACCTCAATAATACACCATTTCTCTTACCAAAAGAGTACCATTGAAATTTCCTTTTTTGCAGATTTGTATGTAAAAACAATGGTGTTTTATATGAAAATGACATCATTCAAATTGGTATAAAGTCCGAATTTCGACAAAACCTTGGGAGGGTAGGAGTCTTCTATGGAAACAAAACTTCCATGCCTTTGCAGGTGGGATATTGAATTGTATTTCCTTGAAGTAATGAAATAGGTACTTAGTGCAAATTGGAGTAATTCCTGGGTTTTGCTGAAATATTAGTAAATGTATATTTGCCAATTATTTTTTTGTTTAGATTTTATTTTGTGTATAGAAAGAAATTCATTGGGGAAGAAAGGAAATATTAATGTGAAAACTATATATGAAGTGCAATGGATATTTTAATCTGCCAAACCTAACCAATTAGCTAATGTTCCAAGGGTACTGTAGATTAGGTTTAGTTTGTTTGTGTGACTGACTTGGTGCAGTGGTTCCCAGCAAACCCATGAAAGCAAAGATTCATTGTCTGTATTAAAGGTTTATGTAACTGGGGTTGTAACAGGGATGTTTTACACGAAAATAGTTTTCCATAGTTGGAAAATTCATGTACAGTCCGCTAAAGATCCAGCAACCCCACCCGGAGTCTCGTATTGGCAATACTTGGTAAAGTAAGGTTGTATGTAAAGGTGATTGTGATTGGTGTATCTATTTTTGGCTGCATTGCTGTCAGGATAAATATTAAATCCACAGGTAGAATTTTTATAATAATAAACTATTCATTGTTATTTAAGATAAGTTTCCAAATGTTCTTATATTTGCTTAAACAATGAAGAAAATTTGATCTAAGAATCTTGTGTCTTGTGGCAGTCCACCTTGTAGCCGAGTTGCCAATTCATATACTGTATATAATTTCTACATTATTTAACCACATATACAAACTTTTGGAAACTTCTCATTATATATATATATATATATATATATATATATATATATATATATATATATATATATATATATATACAGTTGTACCCCACTTAACGCGGTCAATTGAACCCAGAGGGTCCCGCGTTAAGTGAAAACCGCGTTAAGTGAATAACAGAACATATGGGATTAATTCCAATAGAACCCAGCCCGACCCCCAAACTCCACTTTTTGACGACAAATAACTATGTTGTAGTAAAAATTCTATCTTAACTTTATGGTGGCATGAAAAACAAGTAATATAGAAGAGGTTAGGTTAGGAAAGATAAAGGTTAACATAGGAAAAATAAAGAATAGGTTAAAAAACGAAAAGTTTTAAGGAACACTCACGGTAGTAGAAGAGATGGGTCGGCATACGGGGATGGAGGCTGGTTCCGAGGCAGAGGGCAGATTACTGCCCCTCAGGTGAATCACCATTACTAGGTGAATCAATATCACTGTCACTTACAGTTGTCATGGCTTCCCTGACAAATCCCTCAAAATCACCTTCACTATCACTATCACTGCCTTGGGCTGGCTGTGGTGGGTTGCGGGCGAAGAACTCGGTTATGCTTTGCTGACGGCTGGCTTTGATGTTTTCATGATACACCGTGATGTACGGCTCCATAGCCTGCACCAGTCGGTTATGGAAGACGTCATGGCGTTCATCGTCAGTGTCGCGGGAAACGATGGACTTAATTTTTTCTGTTAACTCTATGACATACTTAATATCACTATGACTTAAACTAGGTTCTTCGGAGAATGACGCACCTTCTTCCTCCTCTTCACTGGCGGGTTCTTCTTCCAACATCTCGTCGGCAGTCACTTCAGGATCTCTGATCACCTCCATGATGTCTTCGTTGGTGGTCTCGGAGAAGCCTTCAGCTGTAACAGTCTGCGCAGCTTCTCTGGCAAGGTCCACTGCTACTGCAACAGTCTGAACCTGACCAGTCACAGGTTCACTCCTCCTCTCACCTGGTATGCCATGCAACACATGTCTCCATGCGTGACGAATCGTAGCAATAGACAGCAGATCCCATGCCTCCACCAAGAAGTCTACAGCTTGTTTGACGTTAAACTTCTTCCAAAATTGTTTGACGAGAAGTTCTTGAGTCGCCGCCTCTTGTTCCTTGTCCTCGTCGCTTTTACTCTCGCTGTCGGTGTCACCCAGCTTACGCAACTCATCCTTGGTGTTGGTAGAGTCGTTCAGGAGCTTGAATTTCTTTGCCGAGTATGCAGCTTTAACGTTGCAGATTAACTCCTGGTCCATAGGCTGGATTAATGACGTGGTGTTGGGAGGAAGGAAGACCACTTTTACGTTGGGGTGACGATCCATTAGTAGGGGCGAGTGTCCAGGTGCGTTGTCAAGGAGCAACAAAATGTTGAATGGAACATTCTGTTGCTCGCAGAATTTCTGCACGTCAGGAACAAAAAAGTTGTCAAACCAGAAGAGGGACAGAGAAGAGGACATCCACGCCTTACGTGCGGTTAGCCAGTGGACATTAAGCTTGTTCATGTCCATATTCTTGTAGGCGTGCGGCTTGCGGGCTTTGTGAATCACCGATAACTTTGGTTTACAGGTACCGGAGGCATTGGTGGTAAACAGGACGGTGATGCGTTCCTTCTGCATCTTCCGGCCCCTTACCTTGCTCGCAGACTGGACAACGAAGGTCTTGGAAGGTAACTTTTTCCAGAAAAGACCAGATTCGTCCATGTTAAACACCTGGTCGTCAGTGTACTGTCCTTCCTCCATAATCTCACGTAAAAACGGAGGAAAATCTCTAGCCGCCGCACGGTCAGCACTCGCTTCCTCACCAACAATGCTGATGTTGGTGACCTTGTTCCTCCTCTTAAACCTATGCAGCCAACCATGGGAAGCATTGAAGGGTTTGGGCTCTGCAATTCCCAGTTTACGTGTCACTGCTGCGTATAGCTCACGTGCGTACTCCTGCACTGAGCGCGTGTCCACCGCCATGTTGCGTCGCGCCTGACGCACCAAATAACTCACCAGCAAAGTTTCCACTTTTGCCAGCACCCTGTTCTGGCAATACCTGATAGCTGAAGCACCTGCAGACTTTGTGAGCTTCATGTGCTCCTTTATCTTGGCTGCATCCTTCTTTATTGTACGAATCGTAGATTCGTTGACGCCATGCTGGCGCGCGAGATCAACTTGGCGTCTTCCTTTCTCCAAATCTTGAACAATTTGGTACTTCAGCTCGTAGCTTAATGAACGTCGTGTCTTCTTTGGTTTAGTGCCGCTGGGTCCAGGTAAGGAAAGGTTTCTCTCTGGGGGTGGTGGTCCGGCGGAAGCCATTTTACGGAACAATGGATGCGCGTTAACCCGGCGTGGCCTTGAGGGATGAAACTGCCGCGGCTAGGTCAAGCGTCGTCTCTCCTCCCTCCCTCCCTCCCCGGGGTAGTCACGTCATAATACTTTAAGCCAATTACAGCTAGCAGCAGAGGGGGGTAGGGCTGCATGGCCAATCACAGTCCGAGACGTCATATGACGTCAGTGATAACGCAACAAAGACACACACTGCGCAACCTTACCGCGCCGCTTGCCCAAGCGGAGGGAGGAGGAGGGAGAGGCAGGCAGGCAGGCGGGAGGGCGGGCGGGCGGGTGGCGCGTGGTCAAAATCTAAAAATAGCATCCGAGCCGGACACTCACCGCGTTGCTGTGGAAAAATCCGCGTTAAGTGAAAGTTCAGCTTTTGGCACCGCTGCGATATGCGAAAACGCGTTAAGTGAAAGCGGGTATATATATATATATATATATATATATATATATATATATATATATATATATATATATATATATATATATATATATATATATATATATATATATATATATATATATATATATATATATATATATATATATATATATATATATATATATATATATATAATAGTTTCCAAAAGTTTGTATATGTGGTTATATATATATATATATATATATATATATATATATATATATATATATATATATATATATATATATATATATATATATATATATATATATATATATATATATATATATATATATATATATATATATATATATATATACTACAGTTAACCTCACTTTACGCGTCCCACATTCCGCGATTTTACGCTATGCCCTGCCGGAACCCAGGATGCTCACATTCCGCGGTGCGTGTACCCCTTTACGCGGAGAGCGGCTGGCGAGCCGCGCCATTTTTGGATCCAAACCTCCCGCCATCCGCCATGTTGTGTAAGCTGCGCGAACATGGTGCGCACAAGGTCGCCCAGTCATCAAAACATTACCAGTTCTTCACCCGCCACCCACCACAGCCGGCCCAAGTCAGTGATAGTGATAATTATGGTGAGGATATGGACTTATATGGACTTTGGGGAGTTTGACAAAGAGGCCCTGCAAGCCTCTGTGGTGGATAGTGATACAATTGATACAAGTGACACAGGTGAGGGCCAATAATCTGCCCTCTGCCTCGGAACCAACCGCCCATCCCCGTGTGCCCAGCCATTTTTTCTACTAATGTAAGTGTTAAAAAACCTAATATTATTGATATTTCTCTTAATTATTAATTGTGTGTGCATACCATCATAAAGTTAAGATAATATTTTTACTACAACATAGTTGTGTGTCGTCAAAAAGTGGAGTTTGGGGATCGGCCCGGACTCCATTTCAATTAATCCCATATGTTATGGTATTCACTTTACGCGGGACCCTCCGGGTTACATTAACCGCGTAAAGTGAGGGTTAACTGTGTATATATATATATATATATATATATATATATATATATATATATATATATATATATATATATATATATATATATATATATATATATATATATATATATATATATATATATATACACACACACAGTGGTACCCCGCTTAACGCGCTTTCACTTAACGCGTTTTCGCATATACGCGGTGCCTTGCCAAAGCTGAACTTTCACTTAACGTGGCATTTTTCATCATATACGCGGTGAGTGTCCGGCTCGAGACGCTATTTTTAGATTTGCCCCACCCGAGACGCTATTTTTAGATTTGCCTCACCCGCCACCCTGCCTGACTGCCCGTTTTAGCTCATAAAATTCATACAAATTACCCGGCCAGAATATAATTTACATTGCTGGAATTCTTATAATTTGGTGATCATTTTGAATATAAACAACATATATTTTGCATTAAACATACAATTTTTAGATAAAAATTGTTCTCTAGGTAACTATGTTATCTTTTGTCCAAAATATATGACATTTATATTCAAAATATTCCTGGTCTTACAAGGAATCCAGCAATGTCAATTATATTATCCTAACTTTAGTTTGAGGTATTATTTATTAAAATTTAGTGGTTATCCCACACATCTCCTTGGGACGGTTGGTGGGGGGAAGGGAGGGACCGACCGACCGACCATCTGTTACCCAGTGAAGAATTATTTTTTTTTTTATTAACTGAAGATATTTGTTTTAGCTCATAAAATTCATACAAATTACCCGGTCAAAAAGTGGAGTTTGGGGGTCGGGCTGGGTTCTATTGGAATTAATCCCATATGTTCTGTTATTCACTTAACGTGGTTTTCACTTAACACGGGACCCTCTGGGTTCAATTGACCGCGTTAAGTGGGGTACCACTGTATATATATTATATATATATATATATATATATATATATATATATATATATATATATATATATATATATATATATATATATATATATATATATATATATATATATATATATATATATATATACACACACACACACAGAGTAATACCCCGCTTTACGCGATTTCGCATTTACGTGGTACCTCGCCAGACCGGAACTTTCACATTATGCGATGCATCTACCCATATACACTCAGTGTGTCTGGCGCGACGCTATTTTTAGATTCGACCCTCCCGCCTGCCTTCTCCCGCTTGGGCAAGCCGCGTGATAAGGTTGCGCAGTTTATGTGTCTGTTACATTATCAGTGACGTCATATGACGTATCAGACTGTGATTGGGCCATGCATCCTTACCTCCCTCTGCTACTAGCTGTGATTGGTTTAAAGTAATATGACGTGTCCACCCGCGGGAGGGAGAAAAGACGACGCTTGACCTAGCTGCGTCAGTTTCGTCCCTCCAGGCCACACCGTGTAAACGTGCATCCGTTGTTCTGTAAAATGGCTTCCGCTGGACCACCGACCCCAGAGAGAAACCTTGCCTTACCTGGCCCCAGCCGCCCTAAGCCAAAGAAGATACGACGTTCCCTAAGCTACGAAGTAAAATACAAGATCATTCAAGATTTGGAGAAAGGAACAGGTCAAGCTGATCTCGCGCGCCAGCATGGAGTCAACGAATATACGATTCGTACTATTAAGAAGGATGCAGCCAAGATCAAAGAACACATGAGAATCACAAAGTCTGCAGGTGCTTCAATGATCAAGTATTGCCAGAACAAGGTGCTGCTAAAGTTTGGAAATTTGCTGGTGAGTTACTTGATTCGTCAGGCGCGACGCAACATGGCGGTGGACATGCGATCCGTTCAAGAGTACACCCGTGAACTGTACGCAGCAGTGTCACGTAAGATGGGAATTGCAGAGCCCAAACCCTTCAATGCTTCCTCTGGTTGGCTGCATAGGTTTAAGAAGAGGAACAAGATCACCAACATCGGTGGTGAAGAAGCGAGTGCTGACCGTGCGGCGGCTAGAGATTTTCCTCCGTTCTTACATGAGGTTATGGAGGAAGGACAGTACACCGACGACCAGGTGTTCAACATGGACGAATCCGGTCTATTTTGGAAAAAGCTGCCTACCAAAAACTTCGTTGTCCAGTCTGCCAGCAAGATTCGGGGCCGGAAGTTGCAGAAGGAGCGCATCACCGTCCTCTTTACCACCAATGACTCCGGCACCTGTAATCCCAAGTTATCGGTGATCCACACAGCCTGCAAGCCGCACGCCTACAAGAACGTGGACATGAGCAAGATGAATGTCCACTGGCTGACCTCACGTAAGGCGTGGATGTTCTCTGCTCTGTCACTCTCCTGGTTTGATGACTTTCGTTTCCGACGTGAAGAAATTCAGCGAGCAACAGAATGTTCCATTCAACATTCTGTTGCTCCTTGACAACGCACCAGGACACTTGCCACTACTTATGGATTGTCACCCCACGTAAAAGTGGTCTTCCTTCCTCCCAACACTACGACATTAATCAAGCCCATGGACCAGGAGTTGATATGCAATGTGAAAGCTGCATACTCTGCAAAGACGTTTAAGCTCCTGAACGACTGTACCAACACCAAGGATGAGATGCGTAAGCTGGGTGACACCGATAGCGAGAGCAAAAGCGATGAGGACAAGGAACAACAGGTGGTGAATCAAGAAGTTCTTGTCAAACAGTTTTGGAAAAAATTTAACGTCAAACAAGCTGTGGACTTCTTGGTGGAGGCATGGGATCAGCTCTCTGTAGCTATGATTCGTCACGCATGGAGGCATGTGTTGCATGGTATCCCAGGCGAGAGGCGGAGTCAACCTGTGACTGGTGAGGTTCAGTCTGTTACAGTGGCATTGGACCTTGCAAGAGAAGCTGCGCACAGTATTACAGCTGCAGGCTTCTCCGAGACCACCAACGAAGACATCCTGGAGGTGATCAGAGATCCTGAAATGACTGCCGACAAGATGTTGGAAGATGATCACATCAGTGAAGAGGCAGGTGGTGCGTCAACCCCAGAAGAACACAAGTTAACGCATAGTAATATTAAGGGTGCCATCGAGTGTGCAGAGAAATTGAAGCTCTTCCTTTCCAACGATCATGACGATGACGGCTATGAAGTCTTCCATACCCGGTTGGTGCAGGCTATGGAGCCGTACATCAAGGTGTATCAAGACAACATCAACAGTAGCCGTCAAAAAAGCATTACCGAGTTCTTCGCCCGCAACCCACCACAGCCAGCCAGAGCCAGTGATAGTGACAGTGAAGGTGACTTTGAGGGATTTGTTAGGAAGGCCCTGACAACTATGACGGATAGTGATGGTGATTCACCTAATGATGGTGATTCACCTGAGGGCCAGTAATCTGCCCTCTGCCTCGGAACCAGCCTCCATCCCCGTATGCCGACCCATCTCTTCTACTGACGTAAGTGTTAAACCTAACCTTTATTTTTCCTAACATAACCTCTTCTATATTAATTGTGTGTGCATACCATCATAAAGTTAAGATAATATTTTTACGACAACATAGTTTTGTGTTGTCAAAAAGTGGAGTTTGGGGGTCCGGCCAGTCTCTTGGAATTAATCCCATATGTTCTGTTGTTCACTTTACGCGGTACCCTGTGGGTTCAATTGACCGTGAAAAATCGTGGTACTACTGTGTGTGTGTGTGTGTGTGTGTGTGTGTGTGTGTGTGTGTGTGTGTGTGTGTATATATATATATATATATATATATATATATATATATATATATATATATATATATATATATATATATATATATATATATATATATATATATATATATATATATATATATATATATATATATATATATGTATGTGTGTGTGTGTGTATGTATGTATGTATGTATGTATGTATATATATATGTATGTATGTATTTTTATTTATTTATTTATTTATTTTTTTTTTTTTAGGCCTTCAATCCCACTGTGTCGGTGGGTCAAGGTCAGCAGGGAAAGGTTACGGTACAAGTTAAACCAGTTGAGCCCTCCATCGATGCTGGAGCACAAGTCCAGCAACTCGTGAATTGTGAATGTGTTGAAGACTTTAATGGTAAGAGTTTACATCATATGAAGAACCCACTGGGGAACTGATAAGATAAACATATTCAGTAGATTATAAGCTGTGGTGGTTATTTTTGAGGGGTTATAATTCATGCATATTTATTGTTTTGTTTTTTTCGGTTTCGACCCAAAATTTTATTCCGAATATGTTCCACGATTCGATTGCGGGGTAATTAGTGGTTGTAATGATGCTTAGAAGATTTGAATTATATTTTTTTAGTGCTAATTACTTGCCAACTATGGGTTACCGAGGTGTGATTGAGGTGTTTTGTTTTTGTGTTATTCTGGAAGTACTTAATTAGTTAAATCCTTTGTGACCATCGCCCATGACCCCACTGGTTAATTCCCGAGTCATCCGCTGCCACATAGCAACAAATCCATCAAACAGATCACGTTGAAGTTGGCCTGTAAACTCACACTAGTTTAAATGTTTATATTGTTGATTAGATATAGTGATATCTCCATTAGCCGGAACAATTGGTGCAGACCACTTCCAGGAATGAGAGATTTCCAGGTAATGAGACGACTTTCAAAACCGGAAAATATCCATCTTCCCCGGAATTTTCCGGGTAACGGAAAAATTTTCTCTGAATTTCCTGAAAATGTGCTTGTTTTTCATCTCTCAAACCTGGGAAAAAATCCCCCCGTCCCCGATATTTTCTGGGTACAGTATTGGGAAAATTTTCTCGGAATTTTCCGGAAAATCGTTCCCAAAGCCTGAATTTTCCGGAAAATTACAGCTTTAGAAACGATTTTTCCAAGAAAATTTCAATTCCGGCTGTTGAAAAGTTCCAGGTTTGAGGGATTCCGGCTGATGAAAATATTACTGTACTTATTTCACTGTTAAATTTTCACAGTTACTTACTCTTAGGTGATGAAACCGTAACGAATTGTGTGTGAAGATTATTCTTTTAATAATTATTACTTTATTCACTGGCTGCACCGGCCTGAACCGCAGGCCACATTAAGTAGAATTTCAAAATAATTCCACAGACCGCACAAACACATGGACCGGGCCACGGTTTGCCCCTGCCTCTCTTGACCACTTGTACTGCCTCCTCAGAGGTAGCTGTTGAGTAACCCTCCTGTGCCTCCACAGTGGCAGCCTCCTCTTACTTGAACTTTTCCTCATACTAACTGGATTTAGGTTGTTTTCTCCCGAGTTGACGATACTGTGCATGTGTCTGGTGCTGGACCGCAGTCCACTTTGCAAGGGGATTCAAATTAAGCGAATGTGGGTTTAAGGGAGCTTACTGTTTATGTACTTTTTTTTTTTTTACTCAAAGACCGTACTTAGTTTATTCATCATTATATTCAAGCAGACTTTTTTTTCACCTAAGAATAATTATCATGTTCTTCCTCAGGTCTACCGGACTTGTCAGTGAGCTTTACCTATGGCAATGTTCCCCAACGCCTGGCACTCCATTTACCGCTTTCCTGCAACAAATTCTTTGAGCCAACAGATATGAATGGAGAATCTTTCTTTGCTCGTTGGAAGAATCTCAGTGGGCAAGTATACCTTGTAGTATATGACTTTTATGCTTAGGTATTATCTGTGTTAGTATTGTACATTACTTGGGGTTTTTATAAGACAGATTTTCATTTATTTCCCACTTAATGTAGATTAACCATCCCAAGGGCCACATTTGGCCCGCGGGCCATGAGTTTGACACCCCTGCTCTATGGGATCCCAATCTGTGAAAAATAAAAAAGTAAGATAAAATGTTATAATTAGTATGCAAATTTTATAAGAAAAAAAAATTACAACACTACAATTGATCAATGGATAAAATCACATTTCAAATACAGTAAGTCCTCATATAACGTCATCCGGCTTAAAGTTTTTTCGGTACTATGTCGCTAAACTTTAAGATACCAAAAATTCATTTACTGTCCCGATGATCGGATTCTACGTCATTTTGCGTTGTCACGGAATACTTTCTACAGCGCATCGCACGCTTTTGTCTGGCCGTGCTACGCTCTCTCGGCTCAGCGCGCTGCCCTCACTCGCGGAACGTCACGGCGTCCCCGAGCGACGCCAAGCCAGTCTCTGTTACGACTTCACAACATTCATGTGTGCTCAAGTGCTTTTGCTCTAAAACTGTACTCTAACCATTCGAAATAGCTTCCAAGTTTTCATCAAGTGCTACTGATGCTAGTGTAGTGAAGAGGCAATGTAAGACCATTACCCTTGCTATGAAAATGGATGTATGAACCTGATTTGAAAAAGGGGAACGTGCTGTGGACATAGCCGCTGTGCTTGGTCTTACCCCCACAACGGTGCCCACTATCTGGACCAACGCTGACAAGAATAAGATTAGTGCTGGAAGTGATACTTCTGTCAGTGCAACTAAAGCAACTCCTACTAGAAGTACTGTGATAGAAAAAGTGGAAAAGATGCTGGCTATGTGGATGGGGGACCAGAATCAATGCAATGCACCTGCTAGCCTTATGGTTATCCAGCATAAGACCAGATCCTTGTTTGAAGAAGGAAGAGATCTTTATGGCCAGCTGTGGCTGGTTTCAACGATTTAAGCGCAGGTATAACTTCCACAATATTAAGATGACTGGTGAAGCTGCCAGTTCAAATACGGTTGCTACCAAGACATTCCTGCCAGAATTCAAACGGATTATCCAGGAAGGAGGCTAATCATCGAAGCAAGTCTTCAGTGTGGATGAGACTGGTCTCTTTTGGAAGAAGATGCCTGAGAGGACCTATATCTCCAAGGAGGAGAAAAGAGCGCCAGGTTTTAAAGCGGCAAAAAAACCGCTTGATGCGAAAGCTGCCGGCAACTTTAAGCTGAAGCCTATGCTGATTTCTCGCGCTGCTAACCCTCGGGCCCTGAAAGGTTACTCCAAGGATCACCTTCCTGTCATTTACAAAGCAAACAAGAAGGCATGGATTACCGGCGCCATATTTAGCCTGTGGCTAAACGTATATGCAATGAAGGAATACTGTGCCAAGGAGAACCTTGACTTCAAAATTCTTCTGATCGTTGACAATGCTCCAGCTCATCCTCCCAATTTCGACGACTTGCCTGACAGTGTAAAAGTTGCACTTCTGCCTCCCAACACGACAGCACTGATGCAGCCGCATTCAAGGCTTATTATTTACACCGTACCGTGGCCCTGCTGCTCAAGGCTACAGACGGAGAAAATAAACCTGCGATCCGAGAATATTGGCGTAGCTCCAACATTCTTCATGCAATTGACAACATTGGCAAGGCATGGAAAGAGGTTTCAGAAAGTTGCCTGAATGGTGCGTGGCATAAATTGTGGCCCAAGTGCATCAACAGTTTTATGGGATTTATGGCCTTAGTCCCAGCTGTGAATAGGGATATCCTCGGCTTGGCTAGACAGGCACGCTTTGATGAGCTGGAATCAGGATTTTGAGGACGTCCTGGCATCCCATACAGAAGAGCTCACCAGCGAAGATCTGCAACAACTAACAGAACACAGTCTCGTTGAAGATGACAACGGCGAAGAAGAACCTCAACAAACGCTAACTTCCAAGAGGATGGCAGAATCGTTCAACATGTTCCAGCAAGCAATGCAAATCCTTATTGATGATGACCCAAACAGAGAACGTAGCTCAAATGTTCAACGCAGCATTGATGACAGCTTGGTTGTTACACAGATCTATAAGGAGAAGAGGAGGATTAGCACCAAGCTGTCAACACTGGATTCATTTGTTCTTCGCGGGACGGCAGAAGCAGCTTCTTCACAACAGCCAGCCATCGAGGAGGAGCAAGCTTCAACGGAGGAGGAGCAAACTTTAACGGAGGAGGAGCAAACTTTAACGGAGGAGGAGCAAACAGCGGCGGAGGAACCCTAGTCAGAAGAGGAAGAGGAAGAGGCAGCCGCAGCGAACTCATGTGACTCGCCACCCTCCTCCTCCGCTCCACTACCCACCACACACTCGCTCTACCACCTCCACCCATTGGTGAGTACCAATACAAGCATAGTAGTTCTATATATATATATATATATATATATATATATATATATATATATATATATATATATATATATATATATATATATATATATATATATATATTATATATATATATATATATATATATATATATATATATATATATATATATATATATATATATATATATATATATATATATATATATATATATATATATATATATATATATATATATATATATATATATATATATATATATATATATATATATATATATATATATTACTATTTTATAGAAATGGCAAAGAGTTTTTGTATATGTAATGTTTTTCATGGGGCAAAGGGAGGCTGGGGAACGCAACTCCCGTATATTATCTATTTCTTATGGGGAAATTTGATCCGCTTAACGTTGTTTCGTATAACGTCGTATTTTCAGGAACGTAATCCCGACGTTAAGCGAGAACTTACTGTATTTTCCTATGGGATCCCTTCAGGTACTTTGATGACCTTGATGCAGTAGTCATTCATTGCTCTAATGAGTACCTGTACCCGTATATCACATTTTTGTAAACAGTACTGTACCTTTAAACATCGTTGGTGAATTCTAAAATTAGGTTATAAGTTTCTTGTTGCTTGGTTTCATTCTGGTCGTTTTATATTTTATGGGCTGCTGCTGTTAAAGTTTTGCTTTTCTTGTGCACTGTTAAATATGTTGTAGATGACTTCACAAGTAGACCTATAAGGTGTAAGTTAAGAATTTTGTGTTTTCACTGAAAGGTACTGTATTAACATTACTAAAGAATGGTAAGTTTTGTTTTCACTTATCAATGGTATTTTAATATTAATAAACATATTTCGTTCTAATGAATGTTTTCACATATATGTGTTTAAATTTTGCTCACCGTCAGGGTTGTTATGATTTAAATCAAATGATTTAAATCACACGATTTAAATCGATTTAAATCAGAGTAAAAAAATCATGATTTAAATCAAAATGATTTTTTTACTAATAACTGTTTTCTCTCTTTATTCTACATGATTGAAAAGTATATGCAATGCAGCAGGCTAATAACATCAAGATGATTAAAATGCTAAGACCAGGATATGTTCCACCTAATAGACATCAAATTGGAGGGTCTCTTTTGGATCAAGCCTACGATTCAGTGATTAAGAATTATTCAGAAGAACTTAGTGAGAAAACAGTTTGCATGGCCATGGATGGATGGAGTAATGTCCATAATGAGCCTATAGTATGTATAACTTTAACAGCGGACAACCATATTTATCTTGTTGACTCTATAGACACAGAATCAAGACACACAGCTGAATATCTGTTGAAATTAGCTGAATGTGCTACAAAAAAGTGTGAAGATAAATTTGGATGCACAGTAAAAAGTTGTGTAACAGATAATGCTGCTAATATGGCAAAAATGAGAAGTGAATTTGGACAAGATAAATCCATTATAACATATGGTTGCTCTGCATACCTGTTAAATTTGCTTTCACAAGACCTGCAAATCAAGAACATTAAGGAGCACATTACTGAAATCATTAAGTACTTCAGAAATCATCACATCCCAGGATCTTTGTATAGAAGAGCAGGAGGAACAATGCTAGTAATGCCATCAGACACACGATGGAACACAGTGACAGATTCTATTGAATCTTATTTAAAGAACTGGGAGACCCTTGTCAAAGTGTGCAAAGAAAATATTGAAGACATTGATAAGAAAATTGAAAGGAAAGTTAAGGATAAGGCATAAAAAGAACTGCAGAAGACTATTTAGAGAGACTTAAGCCTATTGCTGTGGCATTGGACTGTGTCCAGAGAGAACATACCCTATTCAGTGATGCTGTAGAAATCTGGGTAAAACTGAAAACTGATATTAAGGAGTATTTAACAGATAAGAAGAATATGGATAATTTTGAAAAAAGGATCAAAGTATCATTGACACCTGCCCATTTTCTAGCTAATGTGATAGATCCAAGGTATCAGGGCAGACATCTGACTCCTGAGCAGCGAGACATTGCAGAACAGTATGTGTGCAAGTCTTCCACATTTCCTTTCAAGATTAATGTCCTTCCATGGAAGAAGTGCACCATTTAAAGAGGTCTATTTTGGTAAAGATGTTGTAAAATCTCTCTCACCCCTTGCTTGGTGGCAGTATTTTGCCAATGATATGACAGAAAATGTAATGGATGTTCCTAGGCAATTATTTACAGCTGTTGCATCATCAGCAGGGGTTGAGAGAATTTTTTCCACATATGGATTTGTACACTCAAAGGTAAGAAATCGCCTAGGATAGGAAAAGGCATCTAAGCTTGTCACAGTATATGTATAAGCATTTCAATGTTCAACTAAGCTAATTTAAATGTTTTGAACTATTTTTGTTGTTTACAGAATGAGAATATTGTGTTGACTTGAAGTTATTACCGGTAATTCTTAAACTTGTTACCAGTATTATTTTTTTACAAAATGAGAATATTATTCTGTTGACTTGAAAAAGTTAAGTTATTAATTTTTGAAAAACTAATCCTATAAGAGCATTTATGTTAAATTTCATTATTACGTTTGGATTTGTGCCCTCAAATGTAAGATATGTTACCAGTTTTCTTTAATTTTACAAAAAGAATATTATTGTGTTAAAATCCATTGGTACATCTACTGCATAAATATCTTAATGCCAATTTTCTGTTTATTATCCTGAATAAACTTTGGTTGAAAAATACTGTTTATATGTTTTAAAAATACTAATTTAATGCAATTAGTAAAACCAAAAAAAAAATCGATTTAAATAAAAAAATCTGGTTTAAATCAAATAAATCGATTTTTTTTTTTTTAAATCGTGATTTTTTCCAACCCTGCCGTAGGTTAACCCTAAGTCACGTAAAAAAACTTGTGGAAAAAAAAAGGTTGGGAGGAAGATTAGGGAGTGGGGGTTCAATGAAGCATCTTGCCCCGGGCTTAGTGCCAGCTCTCATTGGCCCTGCTGCTAGCATATCCTGCAACTCGAGATGTTTATTTTTCATTATTTTGGGAGGATATTTGGTGTACCAGACATTGTGCTCGGAAATGGGCTTAAATGAGGAAAATACAGGAGCACGTTGCCACTTGCAGAAACAATCTTAGGGACATCCTGTTGATGTAAGTTTTTTAATTTAGCTATTACGTACTTCTCTAACATTTTTATTGCAAATTTAATATATGGTAAAGCCAATGAAATCAATGTGAACTAAGTCATTTTGCAAATTATTGAATGGCAAATTAGAGAGATTCTTCTGTATTACAGGTGGTAGTATATTTTTAGCGGAACATTACATATGATGGCTTTAAATGTGCACAAGAAGTTTTTTATTATTATTCTTAACTAAAAAGGGTATTCCTCTTGAGCAGATTTTCATATAGTACCTGTATTCTTAATTAGACCCCTACAAGAGGCACAAAAAATATTTAAAGCAACTGGACCCATGGAAAATGCTTCCATCAAGACCAAACTTTTGGGCTTTGGCATGCAGCTGCTGGAAGGCATCGATCCAAACCCTGAGAACTACGTTTGTGCAGCCATCATCCACACACGCACACAACAAATAGGCTGTCTTCTCCGTCTGGAACCCAACCGCCAAGCTGAGGTCAGTTTGGCTACATTCATCTTGGTGCTTTGAAGTTTCACTCATGAAGTGTTTGTGTTGAAGTTTTAGAACATTGCTAGGTAAGGGTCTCAATATTACAAATTGCCTAAAAAATTAAATCAATTCAGTTACAAACTTCCTTTTTTTTAATTTCCTTCAAGGTGGAAAGATGATATAACCATAGTAATAATGTAAAATTTGGAGAACCAGGAAATAGTGGTAGGTGTTCATTTTCCATAAAGAAAACTGGAATAATATATTTTGTGGTAAATTCTTAGTTTACTCATTTCTTTATTGAATTGCTACTCTACTTCAACATTATTAGTAATTAATGTGTTTTATCTTTATTAAATATTATTTGTTATTGCAATTTCTTTTACTGTACTTATTAAAGTGGGGTCTAATTTTTGTGGGAATATTGTACTGGCACCTGTCTGCGCAAGTGATGCCATTTAACACATGTGAAAATTGTTATATTGTACTGTACTGGACTCGCCAGATGGGTGGTGCGGACAGCAGACAATATTAATTACTGATGACTATGATGTTCTTCTTAGATAAGGTCTTTTTTTTTATATAAATTATTGCACTCTTTAACTAGTTTGAAAGACCACATTTAGAAAAATTATTAACTTACATTTATCTTTCAGATGTATCGACTAACAATCCGTGCCAGTAAAGAATCCACAGCACAGATTTTGGCAGACTTGTTAGCTGAACAGTTTTAACCTCAACAGACTCACTTGACTAGTTTCATCCACATACAGAGAAACTATGTGGGAAAAATACCTGAGTGATCATAACAGTTGTGAAACCTCAGTAAAGTTAGTGAAACACCACCAGTGACTCGTGATACAGCAACATCGAAACACCAGTCAGTTTCCATCACAGTGACTATTTATTGAGTTTAAATCACAGTAGAATGTCTGCTGAAGTGGTAATTGTAAAAATGAGTGAATGTGTTTTAAGACAGAATCATTTAAGCATAATACCAGAAAAAGCTACCAACACAAGATTTTAACATGTCCACCATAGTTCCCAGTGATTTATTTATTTTTTAGTATATTTGGTTATTTTGTTTGTTTTCTGATAGCAACCACATTCACCAGGGTTGGGTTTTTTTTATATTTGTTATTATTTGACAAAGGATATTTTTAAATGTATTGTTTTCAAGCAAATCTTGTTACTGATGGAATTATTTCATGAATATGAATTTAAATCTTAAATTAGTGGCATGAATACATACCATGCTTAATTGTTTCAAGTCATGCCACTTAGTACTATTATACCAATAGCTGTCTTGAAACTTACTGGCAAACCAGTACAGGGCAAGAATCCAGTTAGCAAAAGGATCAAAAGACCAGCATAAGGATATTTGTTAACACCAGTCACATTTATAAGATGTAGTGTGTATAGACATTAGCAGTGACGAATATGTGTGTGTAGGGAGTTGAAGGGAGAACTAGATGTGACTTGGTGTCAATTTCCTCTTGGCTGTAAGCTTTTGAATCCTAGTGTATAGTGTTGAAAACAGTTTATTATAAGTTAATATTATAAATTACCACATCTTTAAATATGTATATCAGACATTTTATTAGTTTGTCACAAACATTTCCCTTCAAATAATTCTTTATATTTCATTGGCAAATTTTATTTCTACTGCCTAGGTCTAAAATCTATGTGACACTGTTCTTAAGAGCAAATATTAACTTTTTTGCTGATCACAAGGTCTTGCATGTTACTAGAGCTTGTCAATGAAGGACTTCCTGTTGCTTATTATCATCAGCACTGCTGGTAGATCTTATGAAGATTAAGGTGATACTTTGTGGCGGCAGAATTTTTATGTGATTGTCGTTGGTCTGTTCCAGCATCCTGTTTATAGTTGTAAAGAAACCTGTGTATCAGTAGTTCCATTCATTCCTCATGTGTGGATTCATAAATGTAAAATAATTTGAGATGCATGAAAGGTGCAGAGATCATTATTGTATAGAGTTAATGCTAATGTAAGTTATTATTTTAGACTTCATATCAGATTGTAATTATGTCCTGACTTGGTTCTTATTGTGTATTATTGGGCAGCAAAGACATTTATTGTATTATAAGCAGACACTGGTCAGAAGTATAGACAGTAGTTAAGGAGTTTCATGGGCCTTGAATCTTGTAAAGTATATCTCCACTTATTGTAATTGTCACTTTTATATTTTCTCAGCTGCAGGGGCTTTTCTGAACAATGGGGAAATTAGAACAGTCACGTAGAAGTTACTGTGTTAAACTTTAAACTTGAAGATGTTCTTTGCATACAAATTACATAACCAAGTGTCATGAACTGAAGATTTTAGAGAAGTTTTAGCTCATAACCCTTTGGAGGTGTTAGAGCTTCTGTTTTTCCAGTTGGCAGCAGTTACGTGGTATTGATGTGGAAAAGTTGTCAGTGTTGTGAAGATGACTGAATAAAATAGAAAAATGTATATATTATACATCAATAATAATCCAAATAACTTTTTGATTCAAGGATCATTTTCTAAACCATTTTGTTATTGATACTTTTAGGCTCATCAGGTTTAACCATGATCCTGGCTGGAATTTGAGTTTCTGATACAGTACTGTACTTAAATCTTTATTGGTGAACTTGGAATATTGTTATTGGAAATGCTTCTTGATTTCAGATTTGAGTAGAGCTCTAGTTACAGTTCTTAATGAGATCACAACATTATTTGTTGTTGAACTAATGCCCAGATTGTAGGACTGAAAATTACCCTCAAAATCTTTATACAGTAATTTATTTGTGACATATGATTCTGAAAGTTAGCTTTTCTGTAGCTTGTCTTTTGTGTGTTTAAACTGGCAAGTAACTTATGTTTCTAATATAAACTTGTCATATCCCGATAAAAAGTTAGATGTACAGTAGGTGGTAATTTGTTTACTACCAGTCATATTCATGCATTTATCCAGCTTAGTTCTATACAACAGAGATCCCATCCATAAAATGCAGTTATAAGTTGTCAAGAGCTTTTAGCAGTATGTTTTTTCTTCCTGAACAAATTATGTTGAAGTAGTTTTGGTGCAAAGTTGAATGAAGACTTGGTTTATGAAAGAATAGAATCTTATTTTAAACTGGAAAGAATAGAATCTTATTTGTAAACTGAAAGATTGGTCAGCTAATTCTACCATCTTTACAGAACAAAAACTTAAAAGCCAAAATCCAGGTCCCTAATGATGTTTTAGAACTTTTAAAGAATTTAACATCATTTTAAGTTAACTTTTGATTTTAATAATTTATTTTTCTAATGATCCTAAAGATTTGAAATAGAAAAGTCCTTAAGGCTTTATAAGTATGGATTGCAAGAAATAGCAGATAATTGTTTTCTTAACAGATTCTCAGCTCTGGAAAGGATTGACGAGATGGCATGGTTGTAGTTAGTGACATCTTATCAGGTAATTAAAAAAAAAAAATTCTGAGATTTCAGTAATAATTGATTCATATTTTGTTGTAATGGCAACATGTCAATAATTTTGTATCTTCTAAGTGAGAGTTACATTTATGAACAGCTGTGACCTTGACCTTTCTGACTGTGTGTAAAGTTTTATTCTTATATTTATTTTTTTGCATTATGAGAACCAGAAGCAGTGACATGTCTAGAGACGATAATAGTCAATGGGAATCAATTCACTGTCACATTTTAAATAAGAAACCAAGTTAACAGCACAGTTTAGCTAAATTTTATATTCCAGTTGTAGTGTCTAGCACAAGCCTAGTCAGCTGTTTCACACCTTTTCGCTGCATGTCTGTGTCTCTTGTCGGGGCTTCTTGCCCAGTAGGGTTTTATAATAAAAGACTTTTTCTCAGACATTCCATTCAGACATGTGGCTTTTGATTTATTTGCTTTATGATATAGTTTATTGCTTCCTGGGATATTATGACAGCTTGTAAATGCAGCACCTTCACCAACAGTACATTTATAAAAAACTGTTAACTCGGTTATCTTTTTTTTATTATGACACTGAACCATATTGACCCATTGGTGGTACTATGTTTACACTGTTAATATTTAGGATCATTTCAGTAAAGAAATGCAAGTCCCTCACATAAGACTGACATTTGAGTGTCACAGGTGTAATCTCAAGAGATGGTTGATGAATTGTTACTCAAGTTGTTGAAATCTGTTGTATGGTATATTGTAGAGTAGATGTGAAATGGTGGCATACATTACTCAATTTGAATATGGTCTGCCTTGTAACATTGTGAATGGCAGTTAAGGTTGATTGTATTATTTGCAACCAAGTGTAACTGCCTGCACAAACTTATTGAAGAACTTCAGTTCACAGAATAAATAAAATAGGACTAATTAATAATGTGTTCTGGGAGTGGTAAGGCATTGGATGATCTGATAATACATTTTAAAAGGGGTACTGCTTGTTTCTTGAGGTATTTAAGAATGCTATTACATCTTCAAAAGTAGGTATGGGGGGTATCAAGACCAATGCTGTATTTGCTGATTCTCCCAGAATGTTAGAAAGTTGGCCTTGGTCAACATATGGAGATGAAATGTTGACTTAGTCAAAGAATATGGTTTTGGAGAAAATCACGGAAACAATTTTATGTTTTTGTCCTACATATAGTATTTAATTGTAATAAGTATTTATTGTGGTAAATTGTTGATTAACCATTGTTAATGTATTTTGTTGCTAGTAAATACACTCACTCTTACAGAAGTATACTGAACTACATACATGCACACACACTTAGAACATATAGTACATATAAATCTGCAGATATACTCAGTACATAAATGTTTTCCATTAGTCTATTTGGGTGCAACACATCCAACACTTTTAAGGCAAAAGGTACTGTTTAAAGCAGGTTTGTAATTATTACTCAGATAATTTAAGACATTTAGATTGTTTCCTTGGGATTTCTCAAAGCCATAATGTGTTCCATATTGAAATTATTGTATGTAAGTGAATGGTAAATAAATGTGTATATTGCATTGCTTTGTCATACTCCCCGTTGTCATAACGAGTGATATATATGGGCAAGTTTCTTTATACCATTTTCCTCTTGTCTACACAGCAGTAATTGGGAACCTGCATGTTAATCGATTTGCGGAACATGTTCCGGGGTAATAGTTAGCCAGTGCAGTTGGCGAGTTGTCCAATTTAGTCGGATTATTCCTTGACACTGGGTCATGCAACTCGTTCACTTAGGGTGTGGTTGTTGTGTTGGCGACATCTTCTACACCTTAAACAAATTCACGCCTAGGTGGCTCTTGGGCCGGCCATCCTTGTTACACCAGGGGCAACCATTATATATATATATATATATATATATATATATATATATATATATATATATATATATATATATATATATATATATATATATATATATATATATATATATATATATATGCAAGTAAATCACTGTAGGAACTTCGTGTTTTCTTCTTTCCTTGTGGCTATCAGCATGTGTGTGTGTGTGTGTGTGTGTGTGTGTGTGTGTGTGTGTGTGTGTGTGTGTGTGTGTGTGTGTGTGTGTGTGTGTGTGTGTGTGTGTGTGTGTGTGTGTGTGTGTGTGTGTGTGTGTGTGTGTGTGTGTGTGTGTGTGTGTGTGTGTGTGTGTGTGTGTGTGTGTGTGTGTGTGTGTGTGTGTGTGTGTGTGTGTGTGTGTGTGTGTGTGTGTGTGTGTGTGTGTGTGTGTGTGTGTGTGTGTGTGTGTGTGTGTGTGTGTGTGTGTGTGTGTGTGTGTGTGTGTGTGTGTGTGTGTGTGTGTGTGTGTGTGTGTGTGTGTGTGTGTGTGTGTGTGTGTGTGTGTGTGTGTGTGTGTGTGTGTGTGTGTGTGTTCTAATGGGGGCTACCCGTATCACTTTATTGGGCTAATGAAATATATATGGATCCTCGTGTTTCGAAGCCGGATTTGGTAAAACGTTACTCTGGTCACCTAAGTGATACGGGTAATCCCCATTAGAGGCTCAGGGTGCCATAAGCTCGTTGAACAGGCTTTGTGTGAAATATAATAGTCTAGGACTGCTTTCAGTATCCTGGTGGTCTAGAGGTAGCGTTCCCCGGTCACAGTCGTGGGCCGTGGGTTCGAATCCTGGCGGGGTGAGGTGTTGATTATATGTAGAAGTCCGCGTGCTTTATTGGGCTAATGAAATATATATATATATATATGCTGATAACCACAAGGAAAGAAGAAAACACGAAGTTCCCAAGCGCTTTCGTGTAATTCACATCTTCAGGGGTGAGTACAGACTAAGGAGAAGTACAAAACAAGGTGTATATATATACAGAGGAGGGTGAGATCAGGTCCACAATGGTCAGGTATTAGGTAATGACCCTACTAATCTTTAAAAGGCACCGCAACGGTCGGTAGTCAGGTCAGAGAGTAAGGTGACCCAACCTTCTCACCTGGTTACAAATCATCTTATTTACAAAATTGTCCAGTTTGTACATGCCATTGCTCAAATAAATGTTGACTGCTTTGGTATGTTTAATGAGACTAGATTCTATAATGTTCCTACTGTCAATTGAATTACAAGGTAATATTGAGGAGGCATTATCCCATTCAATGCAATGCTTATTATCCCTCAGATGAACAAACAGAGCATTGGATTCCTGGCCTGTCCTAACACTATATTTATGTTGTAAGTCTAGTTACAAGATCTTTACCTGTCTGGCCAAAGTGAAACATATTACATTCCTTGCAAGGAACTTTATAAATGCAACCAATTGTGTTGTTGGGGGAGTTCTTGATTAACATTTGTTTAACAGTGCATGAGTTTTTAAATGCCACATTGGCGTTCCAGGTTTTTAGTTGTAAAGGAATTTGAGAGAAATTTTTGTGAAATGGTAATACTAAGAGATTCTTATGGTCATGGGTGGGCTTGGGAACAGTTCTATAAAAAGATTTCTTAGTAATGTTCAGGCTGGTCCTCCTCTAAGCACCCTCACCAACCAGCTCTCTCTACATCACGCTTGGACTCACGCTGCCAACCCCCCAGCAACAAGCTGCATTGTACATCCAATACAATATGTATACAGAGAGCACTTTGTGAGTTTCCTTTCTCCATCCCATCTTGAGTGTGAACCAATAGCTCATAACCCCACAAATGGTGACCCCCGGAGATTCGCACTCACACAGGATGGAGGAGAAACTGATCACTCTCCCAGTCTTCAATCAGCATGGAAGACTGGCTTATCCACGCAGAGGCAGCGCTCATCGGCTCTACAACTACTGTCTCTACACCGCAGGTTAGACACCCTAGAGCAGCTCTGCTACTCTAAACAGACAGCCGCTCCTCTTCCTACCCCAAGCACCACGTCCTACCGACCCCACCACACCCGTCCTGCCTCAGACGCTCCCCCCGGCCCAGCAGTACCCCCTGCTACTGTCCTGAACCCTCCTGCTGTCGTGGCCTCTGCTCCTGACGCGGCCCCTGCTCCTGATACGGCCCCACACACCCCTCTTTTCTCCCTCAGGTACTCCCTGCTACTGTCCTGCACCCTGCTGCTGTCATGGACCCTGCTGCTGTCTTGCACCCTGCTGCTGTCATGCACCCTGCTGCTGTCATGGACCCTCTTCCTGACACAGCCCCTGCTCCTGACGTGGCCCCTGCTCCTGACGCGGACCCACACACCCAGCAGGCACTACTGAGGACTCTGTACCTGCCGCGAGAGAAGCACCACATTCCTCGCCTCCACAACCCTCCTTCTCCCTCTCTTCTCCCACAGATCTCCTGTGTCTAGGCAAAGTGTTTCCCATAGCGGCCGGCTCATCCACGCCCTCGCCGTTATGTCTCACATGTGGCATACAACCCTGCCGACAAGTCTCCTGCACTGCCCGTTATGCCTCACATGTGGGATGTAACCCTGCAGACAACAAGTCTCCTACACCGCCTGGAGGGAAGGGGGAGTATTGTAGTGGATTCCTCCCCTACAACTGCCGTTGTCGCTGACTAGCCAACCCTTGAATTCCTCAGCCTGCGCCTCGTGGTCAAGGTCGGCAACCAGCGCCACCTACATAGCGGAGGTCAACTATCAAGCCACGCCTACCTCCGCTATATAAGACCTCACCTTGTGGTGACCCCTCTCTTTCTATCTACAGCCACCAGCAAGCAACACCTCCACCTCCACTCCTGCCTGATGGCCCTCGCTCCCACCGGTGACTATGCCGCCCTACAAGCTGCGTGTTTATAGTGGATTCCTCCCCTACAGACGCTTGTCCGCGAATTCCCCAGTGTATGCCTCGTGGTCTAGGTCAACCAGCGCCGCCTTACATGACGGAGGTCAATTATTAAGCCACGCCTACCTCCGCTAAATAAGACCTGACCTCGTGGTGACCTATTCTCTTTCTACCTACACCAACCAGCAAGCAACACCTCCTCCACTCCTGCCTGGCGGCCTCGCTCCCGCCGGCGAGCATGGCGACCCACAAGCTGGTTCCCCTCTGAGCACCCTCACCAACCAGCTCTCTCTACATCATGCTTGTAACCACGCTGCCACTTCCCAGCACCAAGCTGCATTGTACATCCAATGCAACATGTATACAGAGAGCACATTGTGAGTTTCCTTTCTACATCCCATCCTGAGTGTGAACCCAACATCACGTACCCCACATGTTCTCCTCTAAGCACCCCCACCAACCACCTCCCTCTACATCACGCTTGGACTTGTAGTGGATTTCTCCCCTACAAACGCTGTTTGCTGCTGAGTAGCCGACCCCACCAATTCCCCAGTGTATGCCTCGTGGTCTAGGTCAACCAGTGCCGCCATACATCACGGAGCAGGGGTCAACTACTAAGCCACGCCTACCCCCGCTATTTAAGACCTGACCTCGTGGTGACCTGTCTCTTTCTACCTCCACCAACCAGCCAGCAACACCTCCTCCTCCTCCGCCTGCCTGGCGGTCCTCGCTCCCGCCGGCGAGCATGGCGACCCACAAGCTGTCCTTCTCTGAGCATTGTGGGGTTCAAGATGTTTGGTTCACACTCAGGATGGAATGGAGAAAGGAAACTCACAATGTGCACTCTATATACATGTTGTATTGGATGTACAATGCAGCTTGGTGCTGGGAAGGCAGCATGGTTACAAGCGTGATGTAGAGAGAGCTGGTTGGTGAGGATGCTCAGAGAAGGACAGCTTGTGGGTCGCCATGCTCGCCGGCGGGAGAGAGGACCGCCAAGCAGGCGGAGGAGGAGCGAGGGCCGCCAGGCAGCGGCGGAGGAGGAGGTGTTGCTAGCTGGTTGGTGGAGGTAGAAAGAGACAGGTCACCACGAGGTCAGGTCTTAAATAGCAGGGGGTAGGCGTGGCTTAGTAGTTGACTCCCGCTCTGTGATGTATGGCGGCGCTGGTTGACCTAGACCACGAGGCATACACTGGGGAATTGGTGGGGTCGGCTACTCCGCGAAAAACAGCGTTTGTTGGGGAGAAATCCACTACAATACTCCCCCTTCCCTCCAGGCGGTGTAGGAGACTTGTTGTCTGCAGGGTTGCATAGCACATGTGAGGCTGAACGGGCGGTGCATGCCTCATGTGAGACAACGGCGATGGCGTGGATGAGGCAGTCGCTGGATACAACTGTCTATATACAAACTATTTGTGGGAGAAGAGAGGGAGAAAAAGGGTGTGTGGAGGCGATGAATTTTGTTCTTCCCTCACGGCAGGTACAGAGTCGCCAGATGCGCCTGTTGGGGTGTGTGGGCCTGGGTCAGGAGCAGGGGCTGCGTCAGCAGAAACGGATGAGGGCTCGTGACAGCAGCTGGGTCCACGACAGCAGCAGGGTGCAGGACATTAGCAGGGAGTACCTGGGGGAGAAAAGAGGGGTGTGTGGTCCGCACTCAGGAACAGAGGCCGCATCAGGGGCGGCAGGGGTTACTGCTGGGCCGGGGTCGGCGTCTGAGGCAGGACGGGTGTGCTGGGGTCGGTAGGACGTGGTGCTTAGGGCAGGAAGAGGAGCTGGTGTCTGCTTCTGGGTGGATAAGCCAGTCTT